TAGTCTTCCTACTGTGAAATAAGCGACTTAAACGTCTTTCCGTATGATTTGCTTCTAAGGTTTCATCACATAATAATCTAATAGGCAGATTAAATGTTCTTATTGTATCCATTCCATGATTAAGTATTTTATGAATAGTGACATGAGATATTGCTTGCTTCAAACCTTTCTTTATGGCGATGGTAATTTATCCAGCGTGTTTTAAACTCATTTATAAGAAAACTTCATTTTTCTGTTTTTTTATTTGGGTTAATTGGAACAGATATCTTATTTTTAATTAAGTTTAAAAGCGTTTTTAATATCTCCTAATATCTTCAAACCATTATAAAATTGACAACTTTTTGGTTTAGAGCAACTAGAAAATGGAGGAGACTAAGCAATATAATCTTTAGAACTGTATTAGAAAAACTAGCATAAAAAAATGTGTCATGTATGTTCGAGTTGGAGAGAATAAGACAGAAACATATTTCAAATCTTGCAAACCATGTGAATCCGCTGGTTGGACCTCTTGCTAATATAAGAAGTTCCTCTAGACTGAAACGGAATTATAGACCTGCCATCCTGCTTTTCTAAAGATCACCCTGATTAATTCAACTTATGGGTCGTGATATCTGGTAAATAAGCCTGGCTACTTATTCAAAGGCCGCTTGAAACAATTTACAAATCATTATATATTTCATTATAGTATGTTTATATAAAATAATTTGTGATGTAATGCTATTAGTCTTTAAGATTCTAAAACTTATTGTTAGGCTTTAACTAAAAGCGATTCCATAAAGACATATTGTTGAATAAAAAACAAAAAATGTATATTCTAAATTTGATGCCGTCCAGCAGCCAAATTTGCATACATTTAAAAAATTTTTTTTTGATTTTTCTTAATGCAACAATTGTTTATCAAGTTAGTTAGGTACCATAGTGGTGGTGGAGGAAGGAACGATTTCTCCTCAATTAGCTAAAAAAGCCGTTTTGAATCCACAAAACCTCGTAATAGTAGATAGTAGAAAGAATGTCAAGCTAGAACCAGCCAGAGGCATTTATAAAGGCAAGATTCTGGTCAATGCTAATGCTAGCGATAATGCCGTGTGGTTAAAGAACGGGGACCCCAAAAATTTAAGCCTAGGTCTGGCCAAATTGGACATAGACACATCAGCTGTTCTGATGTCCTTTCTTCAAGAGCTGGTAGACACATATTGCTAGAGATACCAACGGGTAAGTCAAGTCTAGCTCCATGCCGTTTATCAAACTGCATTTAAAAATGGTTCAATTTTCAGCTTTGATTTTTTTGTTTTGACCGCACTCATGACACTGTGCATCGTCGAAAGGTATATTACATGAATGAAGAGCTTTTTAGTATTTAAATATACCCTATGATATTTAACTAATGAACTGTACTTTACTAAACGCTGATGCTTTCTATCTATTTTTATTATATCACATATGTTTACATCCTTTCTCAGGTGTTTTAATTTAATTTGTGATCCTAAACCTGTCACAAAATGTTTATTGTCTCTAATGAATTCTATTATCTCTTTACCAAGATACTATATTTTTTAGCATTTCTTTTTTACCAAGGATCTCTAGTCTTTGTTGAATTGCACAGACGTTCCAGACGAATGTCTTGTCAAGAAGTTGAACAGCATTCTTTCATCTAACATTTGATGTACTGTGAAATCATATGTTATGTTAAAATTTGCATATCTAACAAGAAAACTAATATTCTAAATCCATAAATGCTCTACTGCCGTGAGATAGTTTATTATGATCGATTCTGTACGCGTTTTATACGACCAATTTACTTACTCATCTTTATGTGACCCACCTACTTTTATCCATGACACATAACTGATTAATATAAATGGCCTTAATAGAGAACTCTACAGAACATAAAATATTGGTCTGCCAATTTTTCGCTTTGACAATAGTTCATACATTTTTTTTTGTATTAATCCATTTGCAATCTGTAAGATATCCGGCATGTACTTTTATTGTATAGCCTGCATATTTTCGTTATCAATGTTTTACAACATTGTTAAGTGTAGTCCATTGTGCCTAGATCTGTTGGCAAGAGTAATTCTTTCTTGAATCTCTACGATGACGTCATTTTTGGTGTTTACGCTGTTTCCTAAATAAACAAAGTCTTTTTCAACTTCAAACTTATAATTGTCAACAGTGACGTGAGTCCCAGACGTGTTTGTTGACAGGAAGTACTTTGTTTTGTTCTCGACGCAGGTGTTCAGGGTAATAATATCAATATCATCGGCATACGCATGCAGCTTTACACTTTTGTATAATATTGTGCCAGTGTGCTTTAAATCTGCTGCTCGAACTATAGTTTCCAACATTAGGAAATGTTGGAAACACACGATAAGGAGTCACCCTGTCTGAAAACTCGTATGGTATCAAACGACTCGGAGAGGTTCTTCCCGATTCTAATGGAGCTCGTGTTACTCAACGTTATTTTACATAGCCGTATAAGTTTTGCTGGGATACCAAATTCAGACATAGCGGCATAGTGAGTGCTTCTAGTCGTAGTGTCAAAAGCAGCTTTGAAATAGACAAATAGATGGTGTATGTCGATTTGTTTTTCTTGGGTCTTCTTTAGGATTTGACGTACTGTGGATTTACCAGGTCTGATATCACACTGATAAGGTCCAATCAGTGGATTGACGATTGACTTCAATTAATATAGTACATTTATACAGAACATAGTACATTTGACAGAACATTATATGCGATATTTAAAAGACTGATTCCGGGATATTTGGCGTAGTTTTTATGGATAACATTTTTTATGGATTGGACAAAGCACACTTAAATTTTAATCATTGGGCATATAAACCATCGGCGCCTGCAGCTTTGTTGTTTTTGAGCCGCATTATAGCTGTTTTAACTTCATTATGATCGGAAGGTGAGATCAGTCACTTTGCTTTCAGTCACATTACTACTACTAAATGTTATAGATGCTTTGGACTTCTATTACCATATTACCATTTTCATCTTTGGAGCAATTAACTCCGGGTTTATAACCATGTATCAAGCTTCTGATTTTTTAGCAGAATTGTCTAACCATATTCCTATCGCCCAGCTTCTCAAGCTTTTCGTAATCATGTCCTTGGCTTCCTTCTTTTTTTACCTAAAACAACGTTTCTTTTCTCTTTTTTTGCCAACAACGTTCTTTAACAGCGCGCATCGCAACTGACCGCAGGGTGGCTTTATATATTGCATCTTTCTCTGCGGTAGCAACAAAACACTCTTGGTCGTACCAGCTAATTCTTTATCTACGGTGTTAGCGAATCACCTCTTCTGCAGTGGTATGCACTCTTTGTAAAGAGTTCGGACATTCCAGGTGCATATTTTTAAATCGTGTTCCTTATGACGCTTGCGATTGTTGTCATTAGTAAATCGTTTCCTTATCCGAGGCGGCCTCTTCATTTACATTGAAAGGTGTTTTTAAATGATGGGTTTCAAGCCTGACGGATAACCTCATATAACCATGAGGAAGGAGCATTTTGCTGCACACATTAGTTTACTACACACGGATGGTTGTAGCTATCCAGAGGGGGCCACGTGAAGGCTGTGTGTCAACTTGGAGAGAACAGTGATAGGGTCGCGCTGAAGTTTACCATGTTAAATACAATCAGATACTTTACCTTGTATGTTCACTTCCTACCCCCGCAGTTTAATAGTAATTATAATTTCTAGCACAGGTGTTGATCTATGGTTCAAAGTTGGCAGGGTTCAGTTTCCTGCGGATTGCAGTCCAAAAATTATATACGAACAATTTTCCCAAAGGTACAATAGATTTCTCCAAAGAACTCTGATGATGGAGATTTGACTATGTACGGGACAGCTGTAAGGTTTAATCGAAATTAGTTCCTTGTCACAGAACATAAGATTTTGAATATATTATTACTTAACGGTATAACAAATTCGTCAGCAACTATTGGATTATTGGATACGGGGATATGAGGAAAACAAAACTTTAGAAATCAGGACAAACAATTTTCTTCATCTTCTACAAATATGACACGTAGAAGACAAAAAATAACAAAGCGTTGAACTATTCTCAACGATAGTGAAACTTCGCTAGAGACTAAATTTTCTACTAGTATGCATAACTTTGTCAAGGCTTGCCAGCGTCTAACTTATATGATACCTGGGCGCAGAAACATCTATAAAGCAAATGAATTTGTAAGCTGCTCTCCGATATTGAAATTGATATCCATCTTACTACGACTATGCAAGCAAGTAAACATAGATATCTAGTTGGTAATAAAATCCTGTTTAGCTAATACTTGTCCGACCATGAAACTAAACAGATTCTAAACTTTTCAAACTAAAGCTGATTCAACTTTATTTTCCTTGTCAGCATCGATACTAAAAGGAATGCCATACGACTTTGTCTAGCCTCTAATAAATTTTCTGGTTTTGTGTATAAAAAGGAAACTAATCCGTCGCCCATCATTAGCTGAGAAAGATAGTAAAATACAGTACATAGTCAAGTCTATAGATATATCAGGTTGATTTTTTTTACTTAAATTGTTTCAAACAGCATTTTTCAAGGAAACGGAAACGCCGATTCTTTTCATGTTATCTTCTTTATATATCCTTGCGTGTTACTAGGAATGTAATTTGATAAGTTTCTTTTGTAGAGTATATATGATACATAACATAATTATAAAATATAAATAAACTTTAACCTCATAAATAAAAAAAAAAATTTCAATTTTATATAATAAAGTTTTATTTCTTAAAAGAATTTTTTTTTTAATGTTTACTTATTAAATGGTCTTACAATGAATTTTGCAGCAATAACAAATTGTTTATTTTTTAATTAATATTTATTGTTTCATCTCTCATACAAAAAACATACGATGGTGTTAAAAAAATATTTTCTCAATTATATGAATATACTATTTGTATATACACAAATAATTAATTTTAATTTAGTTTTTGACCAAAATAGTTAAACATTTATATATTTATTTTAAGTTAAGTAATGAATAAAAATTTTACTGTTGTCAGTTTTGAATGCTTTCATAAAAAATAAAAATAATATTGATACAATTTATATTTTATATTTCATTTTTAACTTTCTTGAACACAACCTTTTTTCAAAAACAATAATTATTTTATTCCCCAAATGTATAATTCAGTTAATGATGTTAAAGTCAAAACAAAAGTAAGCATATCTTTAAATTAGTAACAATAACGGATGGTTTTTATATGTCGAAACTATTAGACGCTTTGCTATATATGTGCTTGCGCAAATTGCAAATATTTTATGTATATAAATATCATATACACGTAATTATATAAAATCTTATTTAACTAAATAAATAAATTTAAAAAGCTGATATGCTATAATTTAAAACACAGACTCTTTTACAAATTATTTAGAAATGTAATATCTTTAATAAACTGAAATTTTGTAACAATATAATTGGTTTTGATAAAAAATAAAATAAAAATATTGAAGCAAAAGAGTAGTCTGTGTGCTTATTGCAAAAATGAATTCATTTGGATTTAAAAAAAAATGTAACTATTTTGGGGGCTTAGCAATTTAAAAAAAAGTTGTGTATATAAATGTTGAACTTAAATGAAATTTGTTATAACTATTTTTGGTGTTATTGTATTCTTACATATGAGAAATGAAACTTATATCAAATATTTATATGTAATATTTCATTGCAAAATTAACATTTTTGTGTTTTTAATTTTTTTACAATATGTAGATGCAGTTGTATGAAGTGAACGAATTGGAGCATCAGGGCTATCAGTATACTTAATTCAACTCCTTATCCTCTAAGTACTTATATTCGAAGGTGAAACCCTCCTTCTTACGCTGGCTCCACTTCTCATAATCAAAGTAGATGTAGGTTCCCTTAAAAAATAGAGCAAAATTTAATACACTTTAAATTATTGAATTGCTATGTAAGTGCAATTTATAATAGTAATAATAAGAGTAATAGAATCACAGTTTAATCAGAAGTTTATAAAATTTTTTTTTATATTAATATTAAATTTATCAAATTATAGGAAAACATGTAAAAAAGAACTGTCAATCTGCAATTACTGATCACACTATCAGTTTTATAAATAACCTTATTCATAATACGATGCAGATATTCATATTGTAGCCGAATTATGTAATTGTGCAATTATGGTATCAACTGCTGGAGTTTTTTAAGTTAGATAAGCTTGTAACGTTAAAAAAAAATATGTGAGTAAACCTCTCTCTCTCTTCCATATGCAAAATAAGCAAATGCTTATCATTATCGATTTTCAGGTTTGCATTAGAAATCTATATAAATTATAAGTTGTCTATGGTTATATTGTTGCAATACGTTGCCATAGAAAAACTATCTATCTACTGGATACCGATGTCAAAAAGGCGTTTCAGAAGCCGAAATAGTAAATGAGATTACCAAAATAGCATTTGAGTTAAAATTTAAACAAGAAAGCAATATACAGAAATCTTTTAAAAATCTGCACAATTAAAATAGTGAAGGTCCAAAAGGACTTTACATACAGCTCCCAACGAGTTACAACAACAACATTAATGTACGTCGCCGAGAACAACCAATTGCCGTTCAACACCTTCCAAAAGAACTTCACAATTGTAATTTCGTAAACATTAGGTATTACCAAGTTTTAGCAGTTATTAAAAAATTGTTAGAAGAAAATATTAATCGGTACCATTTGCAACCGGTTTTCATCTTTTCTTCTAAAGTTGTGAAAAAAAAGCTGTGACATGTAAATTTACAGCATTGACTAATTCTTTAAATATTAATATCATTTCGTATAGATCAAATACTATTAGTAAGATTAACACTTACCTGTTCGTAGTCGTCGTTAATGATTTTTGGTTCCTCATGACGCTGGAACCACATCATGTACTTTGTATGAAAACGCCAGCTTTGTTTTTTCAGTGCCTTAGCTGCAAGATACTGCGCCTTTGATCCTTCCATATAATAAAAAACAAAGAAGAGGGTTTCTGTTGAGAGTCGCTGATAAAACTCAACAGTATCGTAGATTGGGAGCTGAGACTATAAAAGATTGAATAAAGAAAATTCAAGTTAGTATTAACTTATATTTATTATATGCAAAATATGCTTACTTGAGGATAATGAGCTGGAGTTTGCACTGGTGTTCGATGGAAGTATGTGGTTAATTTTTCTGAATCACTTGGCGTTGGTAAGTGATAATAGGCCGCTTCCATCATTTGGAATTGCATTTGATGTTCCTTACTTAACAAAGATGGACCAAGTGGTGCAACACCTAGCAGTGGTGGAATATGTGCTTCGCTTGTTGGCTTAGGAGGTTGATGTTGTTTAATGCCTGATGTTGATGTATTTAATCCACTCGACTGACCACTTGTATTCAAACCACCAATGCTAGTAACGCCAGGACCAGCGCCCGTGGAAGGGCCATTTGCAGCAGAAGCTGCTACAACACTGGCAACACTAGCTGCCTGTTGCTGTTGTTGATTGGCAGTTGAATCTGAGGCGAAATGTTGTTGTAGCACCTGCTGTTGTTGCTGCTGATGCTGACTTTGCCTGACATCTAAAGCAGGAGGCTGAGCCATGGTATTTGTTTCTATTGTTGAACGATTAATTGCTTCTTGAGCCATAGTTTTCAATGAAAGAGACTCAACGGCATTATTATTCGCTGATGGCAAACCTAAAACACAAATAGAGATAATGAACAATTAATACTATCATATGTGACAAATTTAAAACATTTTAAAATGTAATTTTATATTAACATCGATATAAACATGCAATAGCACATCAATATTTAAATACATACATAAAACATAAATTATTGATGTAATAGATTTCTAAATCGTTATGTTTGCACATATCAATATAAAACTAAGGTATACAAATCGATATTGTAGAATTGTGTGACAACAAAATCCAGTATGCGTCCCCTCACCATATCACTTTTTATCCATAACTTACCATTTTGTAAATGTGAGGAATTCGTTTGAAGATTAGATAACTGTTGCTGCTGTTGTTGTGTTGTCGATCCAACAATTGAAGCAACCGTTGGCGCTGCCATTGCATACGATGTAGCTGGATGAGTAACCCCATTCTCCATATGTGCTAAAAAAGAAATGAGGCCATAACTTGATATTTAAAACTGTCCTAATTAAGCTATAAAACTAGAAATGTATAAATGGTTGTGAAATGTACTAAAATCCAGACCAAAAACCAAGTAGCTATGATATAAAATCGTTTATGAATAATACACTGCAGAATATAATTATTAATTCTATTCTATACCTTCTATAATTTCTTATAATTGATTGCACAAAACTTACTAGATGTAACTTATTGTAACTTATATTATATAAATTATATAAATTAATTACTTCAATTTAAATGAAAGATGCACAGCACAGTTACATATATCAAGTGGACAAAAATATTTAAAAAATATATTTAAACAGTAAATAAAAACTATTTTAATAATTTATAAATAAGCACTTCTAATTTTTTATATTCTTAATTATTTTAATTAAAATAAAATAAAAACTAACACTTTAAAGTGTAGTCTCAATAACATTAATTTAATGGAAGCTTTCAGTTTCAACAATCAACAGTAGTTTGATTTATATGTTTAACTAAATACATAATTTTGGGAATTGAATATATAAAATGTATATCGGCAACCATAAGTAAGAAATACATATATGCAATATATAGCAGATCATGCAAAAATAAATACAAGTCAATTTCACACGCTTAAAATTATTATAATTTTGTGACATTCTTAAGACTTTTAAACTATGTATTACTAGATATAAAATAAAACAACAAAACCATTTAACATTAATAAAAATAATAAATATATAAGGTGCAGGATTATAACTGAATATGCCTAAAAACACCGGAATTATTTCACAAAATGAAATTGATTTTTTCACATTTTTGGAGCAGATTAATGCACTCATTGGATACAATTACAATTAAAAATAATTCATGTACACGAATTTTCATTTTATAGAATATAAGCAGTGAGACTGAAATGAGTATCAAAATACAATCCAGTGTGTTCAGGCACAATGAGACCAAATTATAGTATTTAACTTATTAAAATAGTATATACAGTATAACCACTTAAGCATGTGAGTAAGCTTACAAGTTAATTTATACAGAATTTACAGCAAAAGTTACATAGCTCTTGGAATTGAAACTTACATGAATTATTCTTTGCTACTGCAGCAAATGCTATCGTTGTGCTTGGCGGAATCACAGACTGACCTTGAATGGTATTGTTTGTTATGACTGTTTGATTGGCTGTTGCTGATGCAGCTACAACTGCTGCAGTCGATACATTCATATTTGGCAATTGACCATGTTGTGCTGTTGTACCGTGACCCGCTACTGTTGCGGCCAAAGTTGGTGCACCTGGAGTGCTTAAGTTATTTCCAACATGTGCATTCATTGATGCTGCCACCACTGCTGCTGCAGTTGGTTGTTGTTGCGGTGGCTGCTGTTGCGTATGGTGAATTTTACTAGGCGTTGAACTAACGATCTTTGTTCCTGGAGCTAAAATAGAACAATATTTCAGAATAAAAAAATAACAAATTTTATAAAATTCTTACCATCATTAGTTGTACTTGTTGTGGATTTATTACTTGCAGCTCGAACTGCTGTTGGTTTAACAGGTTGCTAATGGGATAGAAAGAATACAAAATATATAAATGAATATGAATTAAATAAAAATTAAAAAATATTATTATTTCACCTTTGTCTTAGTAACAGCTGCATTTTCATTTTTGCTACGCTTTTCGCAAGTTGCACCATCCGCCACAGTTGTATCGTTTGCATAACTCAGATTGGTTGAATTTGATTGTGATTGAAGCGGTTGTTGTTGCAGTGATTGTGCCTGGGCCTGTGGTGTGGGTTGTACAGTTCCAGGTTGAGGCTGTTGTTGCTGTGTATGTTGCGCCTGCGCAGGTGGTGGTGACTGTACGGGACTTGTTCCTGATGTTATACTGCTAGGTGAACCACTTGTTTCGTTACTATTATTACTGTCTGTAGTTGCTGATGATGGAATACCAAGTGAAACACCTTTACCACAAAAATTCACATATTTGTTTTGTTTTTTGTTTTTGTTTTGGATTTGTTTTTTTTATTATTATTATTATTATTATAATTAATTAATATTTTGTTATCCAATCCGACAAAGAACGTATGTAATGAATAATTGTCCGATTATATGATTTATATATTTAAAATAGATTTTTGCATTTTTGATTCATTTTAAAATAATCGAATTTTAATTATAGTTCGTTATATTTTTATTTAATGTGTTACATATTGATTATATCAGTAGAAAATATATGAACGTTGTAAATGTTATTTGAATAGGATTTATTGTAGTAAGTAGCATTGTTGTTGTTGTGTTTGCATACATGATTTTAACATATATTGGTAGTTATAGTTCGGGTTGTAATGATTGTGATGATGGAAGTAAAGAAGTTAAAGAAAAAGAAAGAAAAACATTATAATACACACATAGATTCTTTATGTTACATCATATTTTAAATGAAATCAAATAAAATAATATTTTCATATTCGAATTTAGATTTAGTCGAATTTTAAATACAAATATCAATTTTAAAAAAATTCAACTAAAATTTCCATTTTTTTCTTAAGTGGAGAAAATAATCATAATTAAATATGGCACTTAAATTGATTTCAAAAGTGTACGAACGAATATATAAATCGACGTTAAGGATTTGAATCTAGAGTGTAAAAGGATAAGCACGATTTTTTATAACAAAATCTAAATTGGGAAGAAGTCAAACATATGTAGAAATCAACTAATTAAATTTCAATTCTAAAAAGGATAATTTAATTATCCTGACAATATTTAATTAGAGAATTACTAATCGAAATAATTGGGCACTTCTTAATATTTAAAAGCGAATTATTTATATAAAAATCAAACATTTCATTTTAACCATTTTATGATTTTAGGATTTTTCTATTTTAGCTTCTGGTATATGATTTGTGAACAGATTTGTAGTAACCAGTACTGAAATTTACATACATATACATATATAGTTTAATATTGAAATAGGTACATAATTCATTAAACATCTATGTATACTAATTATCTTTTTGTAATATAAAAAAAAATAATTTTCCATTTTAATTTTAAAATTTTAAAATGTGTAAAAATATTTTTAATAGAATTTTCCAAAATAAAGTTAAAATTTAGTTCTTTAAAATTTTACAAAAAAATTTTATTTTTGTTTGACTTAAAAATATGATGATGCGAAATGAATTATTTAATGACCCAAACTGCCATATATAACATTTTACTATATCTGACCAACAATATGTATGCACTAGCAATTTATGAATATTATGTTATTAGTTTTAAATTTTGAGTTAAGTAATTAAGGTAAAATAAATGAAATGATATATATTAGCGCTCTCCATTAGAAGCGATAGCAGTGGCGTAACTCTCGCTTTTGCAAAAAAAAAAAAAGTATTTCAGAATATTTTTAAAATTACTAAAGAATATATATGTATATAAAACTATTTATGTCTAGTGTTTATCACAACATCATGTTAGCGTATTATTGTAAACAAACGTTTAGATAATTTGCGCTATATATAGTTTATATATACAATTTCAGGCTTTAGGTTTTAATTTAAATACATTTGGACAATACCATTTATTAGCTTAGGCTAATATATAAATATATATGTATATATATATATAAATATTTATAAGTATATATATATATATATATATTCTTAAAACGTTTAAATCTCTTTACATACATAACATATATATGATTATAAAACGATTAGATAAAACAATAAAGGTAAAAATTATATGAGAAGGATGTGTTTAATAAGCATGAATATTTCATAAATTAATAAGTAAAAGGGAAAATGTTCGTATGTAAATTTAAAACATTTATAACGACATCAAACACATTAAGTTGCTTTGCATATAAGAGTTTATGTTCCAAAATCAAAATAACTAATATTTGAAAATATTTCTTACCTGTGCCAGACAATTCTACTTCATCAAGACCAATTATATCATCATATATAAATTCATTTTCTTCGAAGTCCGGCTCTTGTGATGAATCAATATAGTACTCAACGTCATCCTTAATTTTATGAACCTGTTTTATTAATATTATAAAAACGTTTAATTAAAAAATGTATACATATACAAATTAAGACAGTAACAAACCTGTTCAGCTTCAACCCCATCATTATCAAGTAATCTTAACAATGTTTCCAGTTTGGTTACATGAAATTTATGACGATCCAGCTTAGAACGCAACTCATCCATTCGATCTTGCTTATCGCGATCAAGACGCTTTTTCTTACCAGCTAAAAGTGATTCAATTTCACTCTCGTATTGATCAATTTGTATTTGCAATGAGCTTATCGATGTTGTTAACCAATTACGAGCATCATCTTTAATGCGTTGAGCTGGATCCATTTTTTGTGCAGCACCAAGACCTTCTTTTGAATAGGCTTTAGTTTTTGTCTCACGCTCAACAATTTTAAAACGTTCCATTTGCTGTAAGGTATATACAAAAATGTAAATAATGTTTATATAAAACTAATAGGTTTAGATATATTTGCTCTTGGGTATTGTAAAATTTTTACCGTTTCAATTAACCGGCGATTATCTAATAATGCACTTTTATCCTTAATTTCACCGGATGCGATCCATGATTTAATTTGATCGCGAAGGCGTTGCAATTTCTTAATTTCTTTTTTAAGATCCGCTTCATACTTTTCCTAAGAGAATAGATTTTTTAATATAAATCAAATATTTGGTTGATTCATATTTACTTTATATACTTTCTGATTACTATTAGTTGCATTATGAACCTTTTTCCATATATCTTCGAAGGTCTCGACGCCTTCAGCTACCTTTTTAAGGCATCGATCAATTTCACCTAAAAAAATTTAAATTTAAGTATGATTTTCTGATAGATACATAATTTTTTCAACACGTTTTATTATTATGAATAACAAAGCCAGTTATTTAATAATAATGAAGAGTTTCAGTGTAAACGGCGTATTACAGAAAAGTACCTAAATCAATTTATTAAAGATTTTGAGTTATAAATAAAAATAATCATTTATAATATAGGCTCAACTTACAATACAGAAAGAGACAGTTTGTAAGAACACTACTCTTAATGCCTATAATATTAAAAAATAATTTCGTTTGATTTTTAATTTACCAAAATAGGTACTATAAACCTTTATGCTAAAAACGTTTAATAACAACAATAAGACTAAAATTACCTTTTTCTTGTACATACTTATTGAGTATATATATAAAAATGATGGAAAAGCAGACAAGCATACTGTATTTAAAGTACTTGGAAGAATAGTTGGGTTAGCTCAAGAGAGAGAAGTATTAATAAAAGCAGTTTAATTTAAACTAAACAGATTTAAAGCAGGTAGCACAATAACACGTGTGGTTCGAAAAAACAAAAATTATATTGGCTGCGGTACATAATTGGGATTCCTATTGACAGAAAACAGCAGAGGATTGACGAATATAATATACTGGGAATACATAAAAGATGGAAAACGCAAGAATTAGCAGGTAGCACAATAACACGTGTAGTTCGAAAAAACAAAGATTATATTGGCTGCGGTTCGAGTTCCTATGGAAAGAAAACAGCAGAGGATTGACGAAACGCAAGAATTAGATAAATCTACGAAGTGAATAACAATTTGTGAGTGAGTACACCATTACAGAATACCAACAAGAAATATAAATGACAGAAAAAAGATTGTTCGGCAGGTCTAAACCGCATTAGCATAGAGTTTTAAAATTTAAATGATAATGATGAATATATAAATAAACAATAAATGTCAATGGAAGACACACCTTCTTTTCTGGCTATATCTGGAGGGGTAAAAGTTATTTGGTCTTCTGTGAAGATGCTGAGTTTTGTCGACTGGTCTTGGAATCAATGTGTTTCCAAACTATAGCGCTAGTCTGTATAACTTCACGCATCTGTTTTTCTTACAAATGCACAAACAAATTAAAGCTCCTGTTATGTTAATGTAGCAAGATTTTTTTATCTGGACCCAGGTTAGATTCCTATCCAAGAAACATCAGCAAAAAATGCTGATAACTTTTCAATTCGAATTTTCTTTAGCAATGTGGAATATTCTTCGATTGATGGTCAATAAACAAATTTGTCATATTGGGGTAGTGTGATAGTAGTATCAATTATTAGTTATCAATTATTTTTTTGTCAGCGGAAAATCAAAGGCATGAATGTGGATAATAAGTGGTTTCAACAATACGGTTTAATATATCGTGTAATAACAAGTTTTGACGATTTGAATTAGCCATCAATATCATTTAATTTATCTACACAAAATTTACATTTAGTAGAACAATATTCAAGGTCTTAACAAATATTTAACAGGTTACGACGGCCAAATTATTGTCAGATATGTCCCAAAAGGCAACAAAAATTAACTCAAAAAAATCCAGCACTGTATAATATCCTGTGTAGGAGATTTGAATTACATTATATTTTACATTAGGGTAAAATGAGGCTCTAAGCAATATACTGAAATAAAAATTGGATCGTAATCTCAACCACAACTTTTACTCTTGAAACCGCAGTATGTGTAACCATGAACCACACATCTTTCAAGTTATTATTTCATTATTGTAGCCCGATAATAAAATAAAATCATAGAAGAGATTATTCACACACTTCTGAATCTTGCAATCATCGTTTTTACCTGTGAGATCCTATTCCAGTTATCAACCAGCCGTTCTTCTGACAGACGGTTCCAAATAGATTTAGTCAGGATGAAAATAAAGGAGTGCAACCACCTCGATTGAAACATACTTTATTAATCATGTTTCCAAATATCCCAATTATATTTTGTTTTCAATTGAAGACTTTTGCCATCAAATGTTAAAATTTTAAACAACTTTAAATTCAAATTTATTATGTTCAATAATTAATTATTTTCTATTATGTTTTATAAACAAGTATATTTATTTTGTTATATACAACTAATACACAATTTACAAATACACAACCATTAAAAAAGTAAATCAAGTAAAAACAAGATAGTGCACTTTAGAAGAGTGTAAAAATTAACAAACAAACACAGCACCAATACAAAAACAATTAACAAAAAATAAAAATAATAAAAAGTAAACACCAATTGCCGGCTTTTTAACCTATTAAAAATTATTTAAATAAAAGACCGCGCAATGGCGAAACTCTGGTAAGCAAAGTAGCGAGCGAAATGTGTTATTGTTTAAATTTAATTAATGCAAGCAAACTGTGTTTGGCGCAAAATTAGCTAACCAAGCAAAAAGCGAGTAGAAGACGGGAAAGTAACTGGAGTTACTTAATAGCACTTAAAAAAATATTGCATCACTGCAGCGAGGGAAGTTAATAAAGTTTAATTATAATTTTGAATAAGTGATTGATGCAGCATGTAAGCAGAGGGCATTAGCTTTTAGTTTCATTATAACATATATGATTGCAATGGAAATAAAAATGGTACTGGACCTCAACACCATTGAGCACAGCGACAATGGTATTTCTTTTGTATTAGCAATCGACCATAAACGAAAAGAAGATACTCAGTCCTTAGAATAAAGCCAAAAATGTCTATTGCCGGGAATCTCCCGGCCTAATTTTTTACTTGTGGCTCTAAATATTTAACAACTTTATAAATTTATGTGTGCTTTGCATAACAGTTGATGCGATATTATACTAAGTTGTTAGAAGATTTCCGAAAAACTGGGAAATGTGGCCAAAGTTTGATGAGGTTTATCTAAAATTAATGAATTTTTAATTTATTGCAAAATATGAGCATTTTACAACTACGGCTATATTTTCCACTAGAAATGTACAGACTTAGTGTAACATAATGACTCTTTGGTCACTACACTTCGAACGGTAAATATCTTTATTTCGTTTATTCATTCTGAAGTTCTAGAATGCTAAAAAATCAAGTTGGCGATTTTTTGTTTAACTCTCAAGATTTGTTTGGTGTTGTCCGAAGACGATGATGCCCCTTCTGCAGTATGTAGCTTATTTAATAGTCCGAGATTACAGGAAAACGGTGCATGATAGATTTTGAAATTCTAGAATTCTGGAAAATCAAATTGGCGGTTTTTTCTTTAACTATAACGGTCTGAGTCTGATGTTGTCCAAAGGCCATGATCCCTTCTGCAGTAAATAGCTTATTTAATAGTCTGATTACAGGAAAACGGTGCATGATATATGAATAATTATTTTACAAAAAAGATTGTGTTATTTTACAAGTGTTTGAAAGAGAGAAACATTGAAGCAAACATTTTTGAGAAACCTCTATTTAAGTTTTTGAAATAATTAAACATTTTTTTAAAAATAAAAAACCAATTAAATTCAAATCACTGTAATTTTCCAACATATTTAAGTGTAAAAAGCATATTAAAAGTTATTTCATAAATTCAGAAATAGAAACTGAGATCTCCACAGTTTTAGAAATAAAAATGGTTTTAATGGTTAAAGTTTTTTTTTCGGGTTCATGTTCTTTCTATTCGATTTGGATAAAGATAAAGGTAAGAAAATGGACAGTAATTCACCTCCCATCACACGATTTTCTGAGTTTCCTGAATAAATAAATCAAACTTATAAACGTATATATTATTTAAAGGTGAGCAGTACTATGGTTGTTAGTAATTAGGACTACCCAATTTCGATAATTTCTATGTCACAAATCTCAATAACTTAAGTCATGCACTTCGAAATTAATTTTATTAAGGAAATGAAGTATTATTTTAGTTCCACAGTTGGGTCAAGTCTACGTCCAAACGTCACTCGTCTAAACAAACAAACAAACAATATATATCATTTGAATTACAGCAATATATATTACTTTAAAGAGTCTGTATAGTCACGAACTAAATATAATGCTTTCTTGCACAGTTGAAAGTCATGGAAATAGCAACAAATAATAAGATATGATTCCAGATGCGGCAGCATGGATTTACATCTCAAATATAATCGTCTTTTCAGATGACTAAGTGCAGTTCTCACCTCCCATCTTGGGTCATATGGAAAGTGTGAAAACAACAACAATAACAACATAAGGTGTTGTTAAGTAATCTTGGGATTTTCAAGAATGTCAAGACATAATTATGATGATTTAAGGTATGGTAATATCCTATAAAATGAAAAAAAGTTCAATATATGTTTTACATTGTAAATTTAACAAATACAGCAGTTGAAATAAATTAAACCCTATTGTTTTTAATATTTATAATACAATTTAATGATAATATCAACGTTTTTAATATGTTAGTATTAGTATTCTTAAACCTAAGATCAAAAACAAGCGGTATTGATGGTACCATTTAATTTAATATTAATAATTTAATATTTATCTAATAATTCTTTATCGTTTTAAAAGCACATTTGAAAAAGATACTACTAACTACCTGATATAGGTTTTCTCACAAATAATGCTTGCCTTTGATATTCACGTTAAGTTTCATTAGTAGATTTCTACGAATAGACAACTTTTTTTTTTGACTTTAAAAACATATCTCATTTTATATTATTATTATATTATAAGAATGTTAAAATCAACTTATTCTTAATATTATGACATTCATACTAATTCTAAATATTTATTTGGGAAGATTCTTGATGTTATTTATCTATAATAATAATATATTTATTAAAACTTAGTTTTAGTAAATATATATAAAACTTATATAAAAATTTAGTTTTAATAAATATATATAAAACTTAGTTTAAATAAATATATTATTCTTATAGATAAAAAGCATTTAGTGATCAATGATGTTAATTTTGTCGGTTTTGTCTTGTTTCCTATATTATGTGAGAGACGATTATTTTCCCAAGACTTCTTAGGCTAATGATGCTAAGTTTTAATGTATATATTATAAATAATACAAAAAAATTAAGATAAAAAGATAAAGATTAAAAAAAACAATAACGAATTACAACCTAAATAGTTCCTTAATTATATACCACTATATTCAGTATGCAGGTGATTATCTTGCCGATTTCGTGTTGATTAATAACTCTGCCAGTGCAGTATTTTACTTAAATACTTAGGACACTACATTGGAAAAATACAAATATTTTTATAGATTTTACCAAACAAAATAACAACAACCGTTTTTTTTTTGCGTGAATAACAAAAATAACAAACATCTTAGAACTTGCAGAAATTTGAGTGATTAAATAAACAATACAGAACGTTCGTCTACATATTTACTATAAACTTCTAAGAATATTGCATACAATTATGAAATTTAGAACTGCGAGATACTTGTTGCACAAAATATAAACAGATGACAAGATAAATAAACAAAGATCATATATTAAGAGCTACGAAGACAAGTTATACAAAAGGCATAACAATTTAATTGGTACATATGTACCAGAAATAAAATAATTTAAAACTAGTAATTTTATACGAGATACCAATATGCCAAAAAGGCAAAATATTACAAAAAATCTTATATTTAATGCTAGTTGAACATTAAGAAACAGAAAAGCATTTAAAGTGAAATATTTGCTAAAATTTAAAACAAAAAAAGTTGAAATATGAATTGAAATTGAAATAATTTCATTAATTTATGAAATATTATATTAAAGATTTCGATTTACTATAAGATATAAACTTATATAAATGATGCTAAATTCACAAATAATGACTGGTCAAAACTATAAGAGAGAGATATGATATAACAAGAGAGACAGTGTAGATTACTTAGATTGTTTCACTAAAAATATTAGCATATAAAGTTACATTTAACTTATAGTACTTAATGCTAATAATGCTATTGTTACAAAGTCTGAGAAGGAATCGTGTTCGACGAAAAATGTTTTTTTAATCTTTCCAAATTTGTCACCTAATCTAAAATGAAACTAGAAATCATAAAGTGTAAAGAAGCGTGTCTAGAGATAAGATTTACTTAATAGAAATAGATCTTAAGGCTAAAACCGATTGATAGTGCTATAAGGAAACAAAATAATTACGCTTGAAAAATCTTCTTGAATGATCTACTAACCACATCCGATTTTTGTAAAATTATTACAACATAATTTGCAACGATGTGTGGCATGCAGCAGTAAAGATGCTATATTAATCATCTATCTATAAAATAGATTTTATTTTGCCATTAGAACATATAATTGCAGATCGCTTAATACTTGACAAATAACATAACAAATAATATTTATATATTATTTTTATATTTATTATATATTACATTATGTAAAATTCGTAGTAAGTTTGATCGAAATTCGATGCTTTGGCGTAATGAAGACATCAAACAATCATGAAGATGTTATTTCATATCAACGGATTTCTTGATCTTCTTTGTTAAAACTGATAAACTAATTTTAAAAAGAAACACATTATAGCCTTTATAAAAATATATCGGATTAGTCTAATTATTACTCATTTTTTATGAATAATATATGTTATTACCATATACCACCTTTTATCAATTGTTATTTAAACTAAAATAACACAGATATTTTGGCATACAAAACATACGGTCTCCCTTAGACGACAGTAAAAAAAGTATTAAATACAAATATATCAAACCATAAGTTTTTCAAGAATTAAACCACATAAATAAAATATCAGTAGAGTTTAAGAAACTTAATACATTTGTTTTTACTGAATTTTCCCAACTGCTGCATTTACTTTAAAAACATACGGTGTAATATAGTATGTATGTCATATATATTTATAGATATATTGTATATACATATCTAACAAAATATAACGAAACAAAAAAGTATTAGGTTAGATGAAAGGTTTGTATTAATACAATAAACTTAGTATAAACCTCTAATGGGGTTTAAACAGGACCACTACTAAATCTCAGAGCTAGTCGCCTTTTTGAAAACTCAAATGCATCCGTTAAACCCATTCGTTTACAGTTAACCCGCCGTCCGGCGCATGGGGTGAAAAAAAGCCTTGCATTTTAACGAAAACGACTCCAAAAAAACAAGAAAATTTAATATAATTTTTATGAAAATGATTTATGATATTAAAAATTATATTTTTGAAATAAATCAATGTTTTTTTATTTGTTGACGTACGAAACTAAATATTACCATCAAAAAGTATATATTTTTTCAAAAAATTTTGTTGATAAATAAACTTTTACAATGGGATTCTAAACAACCCCACGCGACGGACTGTTACGGCGGGTTAATAAATGGGTTACGACAATAACAATAAAATATCTCTGTTAAAATATGATATAAATTGTCTTAAAATCATCACCAAGAAATATAATAAAAAAATTCATTCTTTAAGGTTTTTCTTTAAAATAGTATTTTACAATAATTAATATTAAACTGGGACTACGCTATCAGATATCTATGGGCTACAACAACAGTAGCTCTTTTTAAAGTTACTGCAACGTTACTTACAATAGTTCATAGTAATATAATAAGTATTCCCAATTAAATAGAACATATATTATTGAAGCATTTAGAATTCTTGAAAATATCAGTTGAATGAATTCGCCAAGAAGACAACGTTGCTATGTAAGTTTCTACAAAACAAAGTTCCAAATTAACGATTAACAAAATAGATTTTAAAAGTCGCAAGATACCGTTTTTCTTTCTATATATAATCACAGTATTTTACTATAGTGCGAATCAAATATAGTCGCTACATGTCAAAAGTTGTATAGTTCGAAGAATTATCATACGCATATCAACAACTACATTATGGCGCTTGCAGTTGTCAAAATTAACGCACGCACGGCTTTAAAAAAAGATTTTGATTATATATATACTATTATAATTTTATACGTGAAAGTATACTTTCATTTTTTGCAAAAATTAAAATAAAATGAACTTTAAGTTAAAATAAATGCTCACCTTGTAGTTTTCGTGTCGCAGCCATTGTGTTAAACTGTTTTTGTTCCGCTTTGATCCTGAGACATAGCAGTTAAATTAAAATGATGCTTGTTTAATCCGTTGATGGAGGGAACTTAATTGCGGTTAACAGCAACAACGTAAACAAAAATATATTGTTCCAAAACTTCGCGTTGTCAACGGTTCTTTACTTTTGCTACACGAACTTGGTGATCAATCACAGCAGCTAGGGGTGTCTAAAAATGCAGTCGTCTGTTGTTTATTTTGAAAAACTACCTGCAAATTATATATTAGTTTAATTTCATATACATGTAGTCGCCAATAAGTATCTTTTCACTGTTTTATATTAAATTACCGTATAAAATATAAGGCTTTCATTTTATTGCTGACAGCAAAATCTACACAACAGAAACGCAAAAAAACGAAACTGTTCGTGCTTTATGCTTTTATAATTTCTCACCTTGCTTTTAAGTTATTTCCACACGTCTTTTCAGTATTTGTTATGGAACTTTTTATTATTAAACTAAATTCTTAATATTTATTTAACGATTAAAATACTTTTTTAACAAACAAACACTAAATACTTTTATAGCGTTCACACAACCTACTCCGTTCAGCGTTGAAATTCAATTGTTTCGATTTTACAGCGATTTGATATTCCTTCTCTTTCAAGATGGCGATATAGAAATCAATTTGTAGGGTTGTATTTATTAGTATCAAAAAAAAAATATCGAACAACCAAATATTATTTATGCCAAGCGTTACTATTAAATCTTTGTTAGAACAATTCAAAAATAGTTTTAATGTAAGATTGTTTTTAATAAAAACTACTATGATTATAATTGTGAAATAACATATATATTTTTTTTAATCTTAAGTACAGTGAATTTCATTTCAAGCATAGTTTTTTAATTCGCATAAAAAAGCTTACCTACAATTGTGAACAACTAAACAAAAACAAAAATTACAAACATAACATATAAACAGCATTATCTTGTGAATTGTTAAAACTAATGTTTTAAAGGATGATGAACTAAACAAAAACAAAAATTACTAACATAACATATAAACAGCATTATCTTGTGAATTGTTAAAACTAATGTTTGAAAGAATGATGAACTACGTTTTCGTATATATGATATTCTTTATTATTACACAATATTAGATATTAATTTCAGATATTAAATTTTTAATAATAATTACCCATTTACACAAATTTATACAAAAGTTGCTTTTAGGCTTTAAAATTGATTGTAAGGTTGTGTAAAGTGAGTTTTGTTTAATAGCTTACAAAAACCGATACAACATCAGTTAAAGTAAGAAGCAATAAACAATCCGTTAACAATAATCTTAAAAGCTCTTTGTAAGAGCACACATAAAAAAATGCTTTAAAATAGACTTAAAAATCAAGTTTAACTTATTGTTTAATCGAATATTAACATACTTTCAGAAACAAAGAAAACGAATATTATATATATTGATTGAATTTATTTTTACAGCAATGGGGTAAAATTTAACCAGAATTCCAAATAAAACACAATTCCGAAAAACGCATTATATTTTCTTTCACAACATTTTTAAAAATTTATTTTTGATTATCATAACATGTTTTTTTTTGTTTTTTGTTAATATTTGCAAGCATAGTCGCCACATTGGAATATATCGAAACAGTAATCGAATAGAATGTAATCGCGTCCTTAATCGATCAATCATAACTAATGTTTTTATCTAAAAAAAACATTTTAAATGCTGATGTCACATATTAAATATCATCGAAGTTGTTGCAGATATTTATTAATTGTTTTTTTTTCAACATTCTAAATGGAAATTCGAAGAATAGTTACGCCTCCGCTATTGAGATCACTATAGCGTAGGGTCAATTATTGTTGAAAGTCACAATATATACAAATTAGGCTTGGCTTGGAAACTGTTGCACATGTTACTGTCTTCCTTGAAGCTTACTTTTAATTTATTTATTCAATAAATTGTTCTTTTAAATTTACATAATTAATTTATTCCGATAGTTGTATCACCCATAGAAGCTTTTGTTTCATTCACACATCCTAATATAAATATTTAAATAATAAAAATAGCTATTGTATAAATAGTTGAATAATAATAAATTTATTATTTTCTAACATTGTTACGCGTACGGTCAAATAAAATGGTGCAATCAACTGGTTTGTTCTAGAGGTATTGGACTAAATCTATTTAAAATAGATTTTATTTTGTTGCAATCCATAATAATTTAAATAATAAACAATGTATTCACTAATCTAATAACTACAATTGTTTAAATGTAAATGTGTTAAATTCTCTTTGTTTTTATGTTTGCTATTAAATTTTTTTAATTTTTCTGACGATATATTTTATTTTTTATTAAAACGGTTAAATTTTTACTTGAAAGTGGTTTTGTACTTTGTGTGTAATTTGCTTTTCTGAATAAAGAGTTAATGATTTTTCACTTTTTAAATTTTATAATGTTTGTCGCCTTATAAACTTGAAATAAATATTTTCAAATTCTAAAAAAATTTTCAAGTTTTTGTTAGTAAATTTCTTTTTAAAAACTTTATTTTGCGTTAACGGTATTACACCATCCTACTTGTATAATATTAATTTTTTGAAAAATATTCCTTTTTCTTAATCATTTTCTTTTTCATCTTTTAAAGATTATTTTCGAACGTTTTACACTTTTAGGTCGTGTGCGAGTCCGAGTAAATTGACGTAAATTAAACTGAAATTTCGTAAGGATTTCTTGCACTGCACTTATGTAAATATTTATTTATTGCACTTATATATTATTTTTGGTTAAATGTTTTCAAATTTATTTATTTATTTATTAATTAAACATCTTATAAAATTTTCACAATGGTAAAATACTATTTCCCTCAATTTACCATCAATTTACTCAAACTCGCACATGTCCTAAATATACATTGAAAGGTTGTGGGTAAAATTTGACGTTTCTTGTTGACTTCACTAGCGCATGTGCAAAACAAAAAGGAAAACCATTTCAAATAAATTTCGCAGTGATTTCACAAAATAATAAAGGTTAGAACTATTGAAGTTCATGGATTAATTTTAAATATTGTATAATATACATTTGTTGGAAAAATGGAAAAAATGTCCGATGTAGCTTCGGGGCATAAAACAGTTAAATGCAATATGCTCTTATAATTAAAATGTATCTTAATGAAAATGTTTTTAATCATGTGTTCAAAATATGCTCAGTATCGAATAATTCCCGAAATTATAGATTCGAATAAAATAGTTCGAAACACATTTTTTCGAACAGTAATTGTCAAAATAGTACTTTTTGCTACAAAAGTAGTTTACACCGAAACTCTGTAGTAAACTATAAATATATTTGTAAAATATTTTTATGTGAAATATATTATTTCTATTTTAAAAATTTTAAAAGTATTTTAAAATAAAATGGATTTGTACGACGATATTGATACAAAACCCCGTGCTTCTCAAGTGGCCGGTTGGTCATCAGGAATTAAAATGCTGCAAACGCAACTGGCCATAAAAAAAGCGCAAACACCGAAAGATCCTCCAAAGAAACCGGTATATTAACATACATAATGTTTTTTAAAGTTAAAAAGTAATATAATTCTCTTAATAGTTAATGACTCCCGTTGTTAGTTTACGTGCAAAAAAGCAAGTTGCAGAAGATATGACTGTCACAAATAAAAATTTAAGTTCAGGAAAAGCCACTCTCAAAACAGAAACTGCAGTAACAACCAAAACTATTATAAATACACAACCAATAATTCCTGTCATAGAAAATTCAAAAGTCGATGATTGGGACTTCGTTGATGAATATAATCCATTATGGCCCAACGAATATGAAAAATTAAAAGACAAATTACAAACCAAAAGAACTAGTGGTAGGAGTAAGTCCAAATCGAGTAAGCAAAAATACTTAAATAAAATATTTTCTTACAATCGTAATTCTATTTAACAGACAATTCAAACTCATCTTCCACAAAACTCTCAGGATTTTCACAGCGTGTAAATGATGAAGAAAGTTATAGTCCGCCAGCAAGTGGTTCAGTAACAAGCGCTGGCGGTGCTGCAATTGCTCCTCCACCATCACTTCAAGAAATATCAATTACAAATGAAAATGGTGATGGCTCATCGAACGTTACCATACCTTACTCTGCTAGCTCAGTCGCTGCAAAAATAATGGCCAAATATGGGTTTAAAGATGGTCAGGGCTTGGGCAAGCAGGAACAGGGTATGTCTATGGCTTTGCAGGTAGAAAAAACTTCCAAACGTGGTGGTCGCATTATACATGAAAAAGATGTATTTCTGCCTCCGCTACCAGCTCCACAGAGCCCTCCTGCACCAGCCATTGTTCCGCCAGCCTCACCATTATTCCCAACTCCTGTAATACCAGCAATTGAACCACAAATTCCTAACGAACCAACTATTACCGAAATAATGAGAGAACCTAGTAAAGTCGTACTACTGAGGGTAAGTGGAAAAATATGTACTCAGGTTTTGTCGTTTTAAAATCTAAATCATATAACGAAATCAATTTTTTTATAAAAATTAAATATTTCTTAACAATCAATTTAAAAACTAAATTTATGCTTAAAATTAAATTTAGGAAATTTGAAAATGTGATGTAGTTTATAATAGTGGATGAATAGTGCTATGGAAAATAAAAAACTATTACTAGTTTTATAGTTATTGACTTGCTTTTTTAGTGCGTTAAGAAACTTGTTGTACATTATTGTTATATATTTTTGACAATGTATATTCTACAAACACATCTTTTACGTATATTTATAAATTTTTTTGCATTCATAGTGCATATTCATTCATAAATACACTTTGTCTACCTATATACCCCTAACGTTGCTAAAATTCGTCAATTTTACGCACATTAATAAGAAAGTAGCTAGCTCACCACAGTAATACTAAGATAATTTAGAATTTCCGAACAATAACATATTGTTTCCTTATGTTGATCAGCCGAAAAGTTTCACAGCAATTCAGCGTCGTTTACAATATTGTTATTTAAGTGAAATGAAGTATAATTTGTAGCTGACATATTTGATTTGCCTGATTCACATCCAAGGCAATCATGTGTGTTTGTATTACAGAAAAGCTGATCCACCTAATCTACTAATCTAACTGATATAGCAAAAAGCAGATATTTTTCATTTTTGAATTGTAATAATTAATTAATAACATAATTAAAAGAAGGAACAACAATTATTTAAATTTATTTGTTCTAATGCTTAGACTATTTTCAAATTAAAATACAAATAGAAAAACACACACATGGGCACTTTAAATGTGTCTCTAAACAGATAGATATCTTCCTACTAACATTCAAAAATCTTAAACTTAAATAATAACAAATAAAACAAAAACACTAACATCGCTAACACTGATATTATCAAGAAACAAAAAAAGACCCGTTAAAGTAAAAACCTCAGAATTACAAAGTATCACGTTAGTGCACTTGGTACGGTTTACTTCAAAATACATTAATCCTTAAAAGGGAAAAAATAACAAAACATCACGAAAAATGCATAAGGATTAGTATTAGTGAATGGTCTATATGCGTTTTAGCGTATTTGCAAAGGGTGCAAATCGTAATCCTAAAATCCTAACAAATCCTGTATCAGTGTTAGTACTTGTTGCAGCCAAAGTTCAATTGACAGTCAATAAACAATACTGTGAACGAAATCGTTCGATCAGCAACAGCTGCCATAACATTACTTGCTCTTTAACTTGTGCCTGAATTTTAGATTTAAACAAGACGAGCCATCGGAATTGGTTACACTATATGATCAAATTTATTTAATTAAATTTTTGTTTAGTCCATGCTACAGAGTGATATACATTAATTAAAGAAACAGTTATTGCATCTTAAAAATATGTTCCCCTTTCTGAAAAGCTGTTTGTATTATATAAAAAAAAATGTGACCAAAGGTAGTGTTAGAATTTTATGTTCACTTTACGGCAGTTAAACTAAATTGGGAACAATAGATCTTTATGTCGTAGTGTGAAATCCCACAACTTAATAATAATATTAGTTTATTTTAATGGCTACAGGATCGATCATGTTTCCAAATAACCAAGTATCGCTTACCTCTCTCAACTAAACTACAACTATAACAAGAATTGTTTTCTAAATCAATTTTTTTCCAGTGACCTATCAATGTAATGCGTAATAGTATTTTGTTTTCTAAATTACATTGACTCAATAATTGTTTAACAAATTATATGCAAAATTTTGCAAAGAAGGTATATGGTATGTCTATATCTAAAATAATGAAAACAAGGGGCAATATTCGTTTTTCATTTGTTTTTGTTTTTTTTTTTATTAAAAAATACATTCTATCTATTATTAATAAAAAATAATAGTAATCATATAAAGCAAATTTAATTTTTTTTTATTTAAAAATCAATAATACAAATTTATTCATATATTTACTTGTATTCACCTGTCTGTCCGTATTGGTAGCTGGAGCAGTTAATTTTTTTGCAACCTTGGCATCACCAAAATTCTGCACTGCCAGCACCAACAGGAGTTTTTCATTGGCTCATGCCATACTTGACTAATTTTTGAGAATTAATTTTGGTGCATTGATTTTTGATGCTTGCTACACTTGATGAACTCTGCAAGTTGAGCAATTTTATACATAAACTCTGCTTGATTCTGTGTTTGTGTGTATGTGTGTTTGCAGAAAAGAAAAAAAAGCATCTTGAAAAATAATTTAAGATTCATTCAACGCAGTGCTACGTTTTGGCATTAAAAATAAAATGCCAGTGTAAATGTAAAAGAGAGAATATCAAAAAATAACAGAAGAAAAATGTGCATGTGTTGGTTTCACCACTGTTTCAATAGCGTCAAAGCATGAGAAGAATTTCAATCCAATAAATGCACTGAATCGGCTGTTGTAAAAACTAATTTTAATCCTCAATCTTACTTTAGATGTATCTAGTCGTTCCGAAATGCGACAGAAAGGAACAAGTCTCTTGCTAAAGTCTCTTGCTGATTTGTTGGCATCACTGTTACAATCTGTCAAATATTATGTTTTCATAATTAACAGTTGTTACTTATGTGCTCAGTATTAAGGGCAAATTAAATGTTAAATGAGTTTAAATATTTATTAAAAAATTAAAATGAAAAACAATATTAACAATATGAGAATATTTAAAAATTTTCTTTTACCTTAATAAGCATAAACTTGTTAGCAACTAACAATTTTAGATACTAAATGTGCTTTTTAACTACATTTCTTTCATGTGTTCTTAAAAAATTTTTTGTATATTTATAAAATATTTATTTTCCACAATTTTTGTATATTTTTAAAATATTTATTTTATACAATTTTCAAATTTGTGAAACTTTTTAATTTTGTTTTAATTTTTGTTTACATATGACTTTTGACATATGACTGGAATATTCATTTAAACTTCTAATGAAGGTTTACAATAGATCGCTTATCGCTTTGTTACCATTTTTTTCTATTAATTTTATTAGTTTATAATTTCTATTAGTCTTTTAAAGCAAGAGAGTTGTGGTTGTTGCTTTGCGTACAAATTAGAGAGTTTAGCAAGAGACTTGTTGTTTTTTGCTGCACTTCGTAGCGAATGAATACACCTATTATGTTTTTTTATCTAACTTGTATGCTTATGATAATGTTAAAAAAATTTATTGTATACTTTTTTATTCTTTTTTTTTATAGAATATGGTTGGCCCCGGCGATGTAGACGAGGAACTAGAACCAGAAGTTAAAGATGAATGTAATACAAAATATGGAGAAGTTGCAAATGTTTTAATTCATGAAGTTTTTGGTACTATACCAGAAGACGCTGTTAAAATTTTTGTAGAATTTAAACGAATTGAGAGTGCTATTAAAGGTATTATCATAAGATTTTACTTATTTATTTTAGTTTCATTTTATATAATATGTGATGTTGAACAATTTTAAGCAGTTGTGCTAGAAACAAAGCACAAACGTATTTAAAATAAATTAAATTTAAAATTTCAATTTAATTTAATTTTTAATTTAATTTAATATAATTTTTAATTTAATATAATTTTTAATTTAATTTAATTTTTAATTTAATTTAATTTAATTTAAATTTAAAATATTTGAAACTTCGATCGGTTCGAGTATCATTTAAAACAGTTAGATGAAGTACTATTACTATTTCGATCCTTTTTCATGCATGCTAAATCATTACATCCAGTAGATCTCTACTGGTTATAACAATAACTTAATAATGTATTAAGTCACCTTTTCCTAAAAACTAATAAATATATTTTTACATTCTTTTCCAATTCATTTATTTATTATTGGTTTAACAAATTTTAAAAAATGTGATGTTGGAAACATTTTTTTAATATAGCTGTAGTCGATCTCAATGGACGATTTTTTGGTGGGAGACAAGTGCGTGCTGGATTCTATAACTTCGATAAATTTAAAAGCTTTCAATTGCATTGAGCATTTATAATTAACGTAATATAATATAATTTGTATATTTCTTTTATTAACTTTGGAAATTGACTGTTTTAAATAAATTAAGTAATTAGAATGTAACATATAATTGTTTTATATTAACAATGTTTTAATAAAATATATTTTGCATGTTTCTGTATATAATACTGTTTTTCATTTATAAATTAAAGAGGTTTTATAGGAGTAATAAATAAAATAAATAAAATAAACTTGTGATGTTTTAACTTAAAAACATTTTGTTATACTTCAAACTTGTCCAAAAGAGGAAATGTATTTACTAGCGCTGAACTATTCTCTTGGTTCTGGTATGCCTAGTTTTGGATCGCATGTGAATGAAATTGTTAAAGCATATCTGTTAAGTTAAATAATTGATTACTTAAATATAAAATATAAAATAAAAATACTTGAAATTTTCACTTTCCTTTCACCTTTGGTTACGATTTCGACATGGTGACGATTGTCTTCTCCAGATGTAAAGCCACTTACTCGTCCTAACTTGGGTTCGATTATCGATGTTGTCCTATTTTTGTGCGTACCATCAACAAACACAAAACGACCACCACCAAAATCTTTTTTGTATGTGGTTAAATACAGTAGCGAAGTATAATGAAATGATTCGTATGTTTCCTGGAATATGCTGCCGATTTAACGAGTGACTACGCAATTTATTTATTTAAAATTTTACCTTATCCACATGTTCATGCCAGTACTCATCATGCACTGTCTTCGCAGTTATGTTTGTTAGGCGTGAGAAAAATGTTGGATATGTAAAATAAAGATTTGCATTCGAAATACCAAAGTGTTCCGCAATAGCCCTTTTTATTTTCCTTCTAACCAACTTAAAAAGAAGTAAGTAAGCTATTAGTTACAGAATAATAATATCATTTAAATACATTACGAACATATCTAATATAAACAATATATTACAGTGAGAACAGTCCTAATGGATACACATTTCAAATAAATAAAAAAAATAACAAAAGTTTACTGAAGTGTTTGCTGAAGAGAGTCATCACTATATTATACATGCACTTAAAAAATTTTGATAAGTGTTAAATAAAATAAGAACCCACATTGAAAACATTAAAGTGTTCTTCTTTAAATGCGTCTTTTAAATCTTCAATATCGTATGCATTAATAAATCCTTCACCAAATGACAACGCACCCGTATGCAAATCTAGTACTGAAGCACCACCAGATGAATTATATTTTGTAAGTATAGAACGAGCTAAGTCCAACAATATTTCCCCTTCTGCAGCTTCAATTAATTTATCGGTGATGAAACGACCACATTTATTTGGCACACACTCCGGAAAAGCTTGTATTTCCTCAGCATAGCTTGATGCACACTCGAACTTTTGCATTCGTAGTAATAAATTTTCCCGTACAAGGCCGAACTTTGTTTCATGATTTTGGTTTTTTGTGTAGAAATACACAACTGTTATGACGGAAAGAATGATGAATGTACGTGTCCACATGCGGTGAGTTATGGGACTGGTAGCATTCCTTAATTCCTGGTTTGTGGCAACTATTCTATTTTTTCGTGATTTTTGTATTTTTTTGATATGGGACTCGTGGTTTGTTAATTTAGATGCGATGCTCATAGTTAACAATCACCAGCAAGTTTACAGTGAATAAATATCACCTGTATATACAAAAACTGTGGTGACTTTCCTTATCAATTTCAGAAATATAATAGTTACTTTTACTGTGGTGAACATAACATTAAGGTAATGTGCTATAAGAATTGAATTCACCTTAAAAGCTCAAATTATAATTAAGAAATAAATATATTAAATAAATAAATATATATGTTATACAATTTTAGATAAAATATTGAAAAATTATTTTATTAAGTTAACAGTAATTTTTAATGATGAATTAAAATGAGATAAAATGATATTATGGGTAATATTCAAAATTACCAACAAATTTACAATAAATAAATATTACCTATGCATATAAATACTGTGGGGACTTTCCTTATCAGTATTAGAAATGTTTATTTCAACTTCAACTGTGGTGAACATAAAATTTTAGTAATTTTCTTCAAAAATTTAAATCACCTTGTATTGAAATAAGGAAATAAATATATTATACGTTATACATTTTAAATGAAACTTAGTGGTGAATTAACACTCGTTAAAATGGGATAAAATTTTATTGTAAAGTAGCACTCAAAGAATTAATCAATAAAGAGAAAATTAAAGACGGTTCTAAATCCCACCATAATAATAATAATAACACTAAAGAACATTAATGAATTATAATATATGAAATTGTGAAAAAATGTGGAATTACACGGATACACCCATTTATTAACGGATTTTAGTACAGTCAGCTATTTTAAGGAACTTTTTCTACTATTTTAATATAGCTTACTTCTGTAAATATCGTAGTTTAAAAGTGCACATTTATGTTAATTTCACTAACAAAGATTACATACGCTGCCTAATACAGTCAAACCTCTCTATAGCGAGCCTCTCTATAACGAAGTTTTTTCAGCTACGCAAACAAATTTTTGCATATAACATAAGAAAACCTCTCTATAAAAAATTTATTCAAAATTTAAGATTAACATTCTTTGCTACAAATTGCAATACTCGATATGAGGTTGTGAATATGTTATTCCCTTAATAATAGGGAATGGCACATTTTTGGCTTCCGAGTAGAATGGGTGAAGGAGGGGAGAAAAGATCATAATGTGCACTTGCTGATAGTGAAAATTTTAATTCACAAAGAGTGATCACTAAACACATTTATGTATTCTCTCTCTTTTAATACGAGAGAATTTTTAGAGAGATTTCGAAATTTTTAAGTCTATTAATTTGTTGGAAGAATTTATTGACAAGGAAAAAGTAAAAATGTCCAAACAAGCAAAAATATCAGACTTTTTTCGAGTTAAATAAATCACTAAATTATAAAAATTTAAATTATGTATAATAATAAATTAATTAATAATTAATAAAAATAATTTTTCTAAATACAAACTAACATTTGATTAATGTTTAACCTATCTATTACGAAGTCTTTTGCGGACACCAACCGCTTCGATATAGAGAGATTTGATTGTATATACAATTTCCACATTAATAATTAAATGACTGGTAATACGTTACCGATATCTCAAAAATCACGCCACATTGACATATGTATAGCTTAGCAAAAAACTGTTCAAAGTAACTGACTACTGAAATCTGTTGTGATATGTGTGAGACCAAGAAACCTTTATTGTTCAAAAAAACTCCTTGTTAATCAGTTAAAGGGTGTTGCGGGTCTAGGCAAATTGTTATCTGCACATTTTTTAAACTTCGAGCTTTTATCAGTAAGTGTACATAAGTAAGTGATTATCTTGAATAAAGGTTTACACACTTTGACAATATGCAAACCTATGGATATCTACATTATAAGTAGGTAATAGAAATGGATAAGCTGCACACTTATATCAATTATAAACTTAATTTTCTTATGTGATATATTATTAAATGAAGTAGTTCATAAAAGTTTACAAAATTTTTATTAGCTAAATGAGCAAGTGCCTAAATGAAACAGTATGAATGTACTATTACATCGCTAATGAAATGAGCGTTAATGAAATTTTATTACCCGTACAAAGAGCTTTTGTGCGTTTTAAATTTAATGAGAATACATCAAGGGAAATTACACCAAAAATGTCGAATGCAACATTGCAAAGTATAATTCTCAAAAGCGAAATAATCGAAATATTATTGATATATTTAACATATGAAACAAATAAATCAAGCAAACAAAAGGTTACAAGAACTTTTTAAAATCCTTGTTTTGTTTAATAAATAATATATATAATTGGTATATAAAACTATATAAATGATTTTATATCAAATAAAAATTTGATATTATACAATATCATGTACTATTTAACAAAAAACACAAACAATAAATAAACAAACAATAACTCTCCTTAAACTTTCACAGAACTTTCTGACATGTGAAAGGTCTTTCACATGCAAAAAAACATTTATGCCAATGGTAACGTACGAATCTTAATTTGTTTAACATAAATTAATTTAGCTGCAGTGGAAATATGATATTAAATAATTTTTAATCACAGCTTCAGCAGTAGCAACACCTACAGCTACACATTTTGTTTGTAATATTCGGTTTCAGTATATTTAACTTTTACTATACGATTCGATTAGTTTTCGATTTAGTTTTTTAAATGCAATATATATAATATAATATACCAAAATATTCTAGAATGTATATATTTTTCAAAAAAATACTGTGCAACATTGTACTATTTTATAAAATTTTATAATTAATTAAATACTAATACAACCCCCAAATACAGAATATAACAACCAACAAATAACTTTAACAGAGTTCATTATTAAACTTTACAGTAGTGGTGAGTTTTTAACATAATATATGTTACAATATGTTACTAGTATGACGTTAGTTAATATACATTTTTTCATAAAAATTAAAAAATTACTAATCGATTTTTATTTTGTTAGTTTCTTTTTAAAGAGTGTTTAATCTAGTTTTAGAAACATTCAGCGTATTGATTGTACCTTTTACAAAATTTAAATGAAATGCACTTATACTGGAATATGCGAAAAATGTTTACTATTTTAATAATTTTTTATATTTAGGTTAAGATATTAGAATAATTCTATTATAATCGGTTTCGTGAGCATTTTTTTTATACGTTTGCATTTTAATTTTTTGAAAAACTTGATATATAACGAGTTCAGAAGTTTGACTTTGACTTCAAATTTCTCAAAATTGTACTAGTCAATTTTTATGTTTTTTTGCTATTAATAGTTTAAGTTTTATTAGTTAAACTTACGCACGATATTAAGTCTGTTCCACAAGCTACTCGTAGTAAAACTCAAGTAAAACACAAGTAAAGTATACACTGAGAGCGTAACACAAATAAAGTGCCACATTACGCTCTTTACACAGATTTTTATGGAACAGTTTTGTATAAAGTCTGGTGAGAGCATCAGTGCCGTTTAAATAAACAATACAAAAATTTTAATTCAAACCAAAACAGCTGATTCACACATTAACACAAATTTTACTTAAAATAGAATGTTCGAGCAGAGTCTGTGTAACATTTTCAAATTTCGACAGGAACGTCACGATCTCTCTGATGCTCTCCTTTACTCGAAAATTTGTTGATGGAACACACATGTGTATACACAGTGTTACTCAAAGTTACTACAAGCAGTACGTGGAACAGACCTATTGTACAATTTTTAGATTTTTCTAAAACAAAATTTCTTCAAAAAAAGTCGATTTTAGACAATTTTTATATTCCTTATAATTTAAAAAATTCGTATCAGATTTCTATTAAGTGTTCATTTGAAACACCAGTTTCAGTTTATTTTCTTATAATAACACAAGTAGAATTTTTTAAAAATTTTTTGTAAATGCACCCCTGCGTTCTCCAGCAACGTTGCTAACTTTGCGCTGGTGCACAATTAAACATCGAACCAAGAAAAGTGTCAAATGATAAATATTGAAGTGTGTTTGTTTAATTGACTGAACAATTGGTCTTGTAACAAAATATTTGGAGCAGATAAAAAATTCCCGGTAGTGAATTAAAGATGTCACGTTTTAGTGGAGCATTACAATTGACTGATTTAGATGATTTCATAACACCTTCACAGGTACGGAAAAATATTTACAAGTATAATATAAAAGCAAGCATATTTAAATATTAAAAAAGCCATTGCTAACAAGAAGTTGTTGCAATTTCTGATTGAAAATACTTGTGAACATTTAAAAATTAGCTTAATGTTCATATATTGGATAATAACCATTTTATATATAAAATTGATTGAAACTATGTTGTCAAGTTCGAAAAGCAACTCATGTATATAAAAATTATATTGGGTGGTAAAAGAGCACTGCTTCTGTGCTCATTGTGATGTGTCGTATACGGTAGATTTACCTGAAAACTTAATCCAACATAGCTTAGATTATGAGTACAAATTGTAGTATTAAATGTAGTGCAACTTAAGGAAGTTAATGACGACAAGTCTATTTTCTGCGACACCTCTTTTTATTGCACTTATTTTTGCAACATTGGTTGCTTTTTAGATCTAAAAATGCTATGCAATTTTTTTATCTGATTATATGTATTTTTGTTATATGTTTATTTGAATTTATCATGTTTTCTTCAAATAGAAATACTTTTATTGTTGTGAACAAGATATTTATAATGTAATTCCTACAAAATCGAATTTAAATCGAATCGCCAAAAAAATTGTATAATATTTTTCACATCTATTTTTATTTTTATATGATATTTAGGAATGTATAAAACCTGTTACTATTGAAAAGACGAAATCTAAGACAGGTGCAAAAATTTCCATTCAAGAAGACGGTTACTATGAAGAAACAGAGGTACTTATACAAGTATTAATTATAATTGATAAGCAAATCCTCAGTGACATTTTGTATTTTTAGACTGGCAAGCACAAGTTACAAAAAGTCGAGATAACACTACAAGATTGCCTGGCCTGCTCTGGTTGTATTACGTCTGCTGAAGGGGTGCTCATTACACAACAAAGTCAGGAGGAACTTTTGAAAATTTTAAAAGAAAATCAAGTACTTAAATCACAGGGCTTATTGGAGAAAGTACGTACTGTTGTATTTACCATATCACAGCAACCTATTTTGAGCATAGCACAGCGCTATGAACTGCCGGTTGAGGAAGCGGCAAAACGTTTAAGCGGTTACTTGCGGAGTTTGGGTGCAGATATTATTTTAAACACAAAAATTGCTGATGACTTGGCACTGCTGGAATGTCAAACTGAATTTTTAGAACGTTTTCGAGAAAATGATACTGGTGGAGCTGCTCATTTACCACTATTAACTTCAGCTTGTCCTGGTTGGGTTTGCTACGCAGAAAAAACACATGGTCAATTTATATTACCATACATTGCCACTACCCGTTCCCCACAACAAATAATGGGTGTTCTTGTTAAACAATACTTGGCACAAAAATTAAATGTAGCAAGTAGCAATGTATATCACGTGTCTGTTATGCCTTGTTATGATAAGAAGTTGGAAGCTTCGCGTGAGGACTTTTACAGTGAAGTGAACAACTCTCGTGATGTGGACTGTGTTATAACATCAAGTGAGTGTATACATAAATATAAATGAATTAAAATCTAATATTAAACAATATAATATAATGATTCTTTTAGTTGAAATTGAACAGATGTTAAATGAAGAGGATAAAACAATAGAATCGTATGATGCTATCAATTTTGATTGGCCTTGGGGTACTGAACAACCCGAACAAAATGTTTGGGCTCATGAAATGTCTGCCTCGGGAGGTTATGCAGATCATGTTTTTAAACACGCTGCTAAGGAATTATTTGGCCAGGAAATTTTGGGTGATTTAGTTTATAAGAATTTAAGGTAAGCAAATTTTGATAAAATTTAATTTGAAAATAAATGATTTATTAATTTCGTTAGAAATCCTGATTTTCGTGAAGTAACTCTGGAACAAGATGGTAAATGTGTGCTTAGGTTTGCTATTGCCAACGGTTTTCGAAATATACAAAATCTTGTACAAAAATTGAAACGTGGCAAAATAGCTTATCATTTTGTGGAAGTAATGGCTTGTCCCTCAGGTTAGCTTTAGTCGAATGTTGTAAGCAAATTATTTTCAAATTTACTTTTGTAGGTTGTATAAACGGTGGAGCACAAATACGGCCGCCAGCTGGTATGCCTGTACGTGAGCTTTCATTACAATTAGAGCAACTGTATAGACAATTACCAAAATCAATACCCGATAATACTGTCACAAAAAGTATTTATGAGAATTTCTTTGACGGTGCACACACTGATAAAGCCAATATGCTGTTGCATACAAGTTATCACGCGGTTGAAAAAATACAAACAGCGCTTAATATCAAATGGTAGATTTCATTTACTATATCTTCAATACATGGAGTACAAAATTATGACAAAAATGTCTTAAAATATGTAACAAAAATTTGGTTAAAATAGTTAAATATAGTTTCTGTACTGATAGCTTTTGAAATAAAACATTTTTTATGGGATTAACTAAGTTAACTACTTTCACCTAACAACAAACTTTATATGAAAAATATGATATTAAATATCATGTTAAATTTATTTGTTCTGTGAAATGAAAATTATTATGTTATAGAGTATTTTTTAAATTTGATATAATTTTTTTTACCATTACTTAACTTGTTATAAAAATAGATTTTAATAAAATTCATGTTATATAGTAAATATGATATTATTTTAAATCGAATTAAATATTTTTAGGCACATTGTTTACTATGTGTTATCGTTTTATTATTTTGGAAATGGAAAAAATTGATATCTTTTGGTAACGTACATTAGGGGACATACATTTTTTGTTATTTAATTTATTTTTGTTATTTACATATGTCAATATTTTGTTTTTGTTAGTATTTAAATTTTGTGATATCTGTAACAAAAATTTGGTTTCAAAATAAACAAAACAAAAAAATTAATAATCTGTTACTAGTATAGACCAGTCTTTATATATAATTATATATATATATATATATATATACATATATATATATATATATATATATATATATATATATATATATATATATATATATATATATATATATATATACATATATATATATATGTATATATAAACATTGTTATTACTATATAGATTTTTATTTCTATAGTGATATTTATATTTGTAATATCTCCAACTAAAATTGGTTTTAGTTTTCATGGTTTTTAAAATTCATGAAATTTATGGTTTTTAAATAAAATTTTTATAATTCAGATTATCATGGTTTTAAATTAAAAATGCAAGTGAAATATTGTTTTTTCATTTATTTTCTCTCTGCAAATTTTAATTTTAAATAAAATTGTTTTAAATACAATTGTTTTAAATAATTATTTATTAGATATTAAAATGTATTTTTATGTAATATTAAACTATTTGATGTGACAATACTCGATGTTATATGAATTTTACTTCCTTTTTATATGAATTTCCTTCCTAAATTATAATAGTAAGCTAACTAGATCCAACTAGATCTATATTCATGGGTCTATCAAAAATACATGGACTCCAAACTTTTTAATATTAGTTTTTTTTATTAAAAAATTTTAGATCCCTTTTATGTGTTACAATTATCAGATTTAATCAGTGATCCTTATTAAATTTATCTATAAATAATATGTGTATCTGTAATTTATTAATTGTAAAAAAGTGCTCTATTTGTTGAAAATCAGAAAATTAGGAAATTTTAAAGATTCGAACAAATTTGAGATACAGGAATTTTTTATATGTGAAAGGCGGATGGAGGGCGGGTGCAAAGTCTCGTTATACTAAACTTTATATCACATGCCTTCCCACGACGTCCACTGCCGATATTCCGATATTCACATCCATGAATAGCTCGCAACCAAATGATGTGAAAGCGTATAGCTCTACTTGATCTAGAGGACTCCATTTAAGCACCATTATCGGAATGACCGAACTTTCTTTACAAAGTGTTTGGCCTCTGATTTGCATGCTTTAGTTCCATGTTAGTGATTATGTACAAATTTTGGATGTTGAATAAAAATTGTAAAGAAGATTAATGATTAATTAACTCAGTAGATTCGGTTATGTACAAAATTTCGAAACAAAGTTAATATTAACCTTTGTGTTAACGCCCAAATATTTTAAACATATCCGCTATATGTTGTTATATCAAAAATATCAACATATAACTAATATCTAATGTAGATATAGTCTTGTCTTGTCTGTCTGTAGTTATGTTTTTATATCTAATGTATGTATGCTAGATAGTTTACATATATTAGATATGGAGACAGTGATATGCGTATATAGACATTTTTTAGAAACGAAGCGGAAAAAAATTATACATGTATATTATGTATAATTTATAATTTATGTATAAATATATAATTTCATAAATTTGTACAGTTTATAAGTATTACTAAAGAACTGGTTCATCTCTATAGTTACGGTAAGATATCCTTCTTCAGCAGAACAGAGTTGAGGTTGCTGGTGGGATATTTAACGGGTCACCATGGACTGCGTTATCACCTTAATAAAATTGGTCTGTCCGAAGAGATAGATTGTCGACTCTACTTAAAAGCAGACGAAAGCTTCAGGCAGATTCTCTGTGACTGTCTAGCCTTGATCTGCACCAGGAGGACGTCGCTTCGTTGGGATCTAGTACCCTATTTATTTCTAACTCAAATTATTGCTATCATTTAATGAGACTGTAACTTCTTCTTTGGACAGACGTATATGTTCTCTGAAAATCAGTTATACTTCAATAATATGACATATATTTTTTATTTCATGGCAATTTCACAAAGAACAATCATGTTTGGATATATTAAATTTTCTGGCGTTTAAATAAAAAAGACCGGCCCGGTCCTACAGTACGATCGATATATGTTGAGTGTTTTCATAATAAAAACTATGCATAATGTCATATTACAGCTGTGGGTACATGTCATGAGATTCCGACTTAGCATTCGTGACAAAGGAATCGTGTTCACTCCGTTTGTATAAAGTTATAATATTATTGTGTAATAATTTAAGATCCATACTCCGAATACTGGTTATTGAAAGAACCAGTTCTAAACACATATTTTCTCAATCTTTGACGCAGTATATGTATGCCTTTGTCAATTGTAAGTTCAGTTAGTATACGAACAAACTTTGTGGAGGGGTGATTAAGAATTTTTCTTACATAGGCGAAATGTGTTTGCACTGTGTCTACAAACTGCGTTGGTAACCCCGTTTCTACGTGAAGCATATAGTTTGGGGTGTTAGTGAGTACGAGTAGAAATATATTTTTTAAAAAAAATTTATAGAATTTTTCCACTTGATCATAATGTTTGTAACCCCAAACTTGGTTACCGTAGAGTACAATTGAATGTGCAATTTCTATCTGTCTTTCTCCAAACTTCCACGACAACGAGTTATTTACTCTACCACCTTTTCTGAAAATCATAATTTTGGATTTATTTAGATTCACGATAAGACCACATTTTGAACAATATCATAATTTGCAATACATCAGGTGAGTCCACAAGTAGAACTACATCATCGGCACTACATAAAAGCTGATGGTTGGCTGTAGGAAACCCGGTTGTGACACAAGTGTTAAAAAAGTGATCAAAAGGGATATTTATGCTGACTATTTTAATAATGGTAACAAACGATTTGGTTTTTTATTATATCAAATATATTTATTATAGCAGACATATGTATATGCATCAATTTTATTAAATGCATTTAATTAATAATTTTTTTTCATGTATATTTAAATATAATGCAAAAAAAGTGGCTAGAAGTTGTTACCTCGAGATTCTTGGATTATTGTTCTTTTAGTAATATTAATATGTAAGCAGTGGTGTTGACAGGAAGGGGAGATATTATATACAACTTTTATTTGTATAAGTTTATAATTAATTAAGTAATACAAAAACGGTTAAGTGTATTTGCTTCAGTAGCCAAAGTTAATGAGTGTACTAGCTTCGCTTATCAAGTTGAGAGCTACTTAGGCCAAACTGGACTTTTCTAGACAAACAAGTTGATGTTCCGTGTGATAGGAATTAGCCGATTAAATATTGCTCGAGCCCAGGGGTCGGATTTGACAGGCTTATATAAGTTGTTTAAAATTGCTTTATTAGGCCATGTGCGAGTTCAAGTAAATTGTTGGTAAATTGAGGGAAATAGTAAATTATGTCGGTATGGCAGCGAATGTTGGTATTTATCCAGAATTTCGATTAGGGCAAATTAGATAAATTTAGGTAAATTAGGTATAATTATTGTGAAAATTTTATAAGATGTTTAATAAATAAATTTAAAAACTTTTAACCAAAAATAATAATTAAGTGCAATAAATAAATAAATAAATAAATATTTACATATGTTAATTGCAGTAAAAAAAAATTCCTAGGAAATTTTAATTTACTTTACCTCAACTTATTTGAACTCGCACACGGCCTAAGGTAATGTTATAACAAAAAAAAATTTCGTATAAATTGAAAGTTAGTTCTGTAACGTAGGTTGCCCACGCCTGTACATCTATTACTTTTCGTGTAATTTTTCACACACACATGCATTAAAGTTTTTTCCGGCATTTCAGTCAACAACGGTAAACTGTCAATTCAACTGCTACGAAGCAGTAACCACGGTAAAACAAAAAATATCTGTAAGGTCAAGATTTCATTTGACAAGCGAAACCGCAAATCCCACATAAAAGGATAAAAATAAAGTGCTAAGTAATGATTTTGTTAATTAAAATCAAATAATTTTAATTTCTTTGATTTTTGAGTAGAAATATTAACATATTAATTGATTTATATTGGTGAACGAATAGTGTTTACTAATAATGAAATTGTAAGCTTTAATCATTAAAGGATAAAACATTTAACCACGTAACTTTACAATTTAAACAATTATATAAATTATTTATTAATGTGTGTTGTACTAATTGAGTTCTTAAAGAAAAATCAATTTTGTACTGAAAAAAAAAACAAAAAACCAAAACAAATTTATATAATGTAATTCAAACTACGTACATATTTACATGCACGTAAATGGCATTAAAACATATAACAATAAAACCAAAACTAAAAGAAAAAGAAAAGAAAAAGGGCTAAAAATAAAAGTCCACTAAGTGGAAATCATCAATAATAATTGTAAGCAAATATCAATCATACGCGGAGTGGTGCGAATCGGTTTCACTAGGCTAGCCGCTAAGCAAGTCCCCGCCACCGCTGGAGCAGTTAGTCTATGGTTAGAAATTGATTTTCCTAGTGAACAAAATTAGCAACACTACGCGGCATATAGCTTTCGTATTGTACAAATAGTACGAAAATAGTTAGAGCTTTCGATGTTTAATTACTAAGGAAATAGAGGTGATGGGCGTCAATTTATCCGGTTGGAAAAAAATGGGTTTCCGTACACAAAATGTCTCTTAGTGAACATTTAGTGAACATTTTCCATAGCTGGTGTGTAAATAGTTTGTTAGTTTAGTTATTTGCAATTCGAATACGCATAAGTGATATATTCCAGTATTTAGAAGAGTATTTAAGGTGTTAATCACACTTACGATTAGACATTCAAAAAGGAAAATTCAGCAATTTATTTGAATTTGAAAAATAATTTGCGTAATAAGTGTGTTAAACAAAATTTATATCTATCAATTGTCAAAGGAAAAAATATAAATAATATAAGAAAAATAAAAATAAATAATTTTATAAATTTCATAATTTCATAAATAAATTTCATAAATTTAAAATAATTTCAAAATATAGTAAGTAAACTTTATTTTTTATGAGGATCAGATATTAAATTAATATTTTTTTACAGAATATCTAAAATAAAGTATTTACATATAAGCCAAAATATGTGTAAATACGTTAACCAACATATTTTTTTATTATAAAAATAAATATATATGAGTAGGTATTTACGTACTCATTAATATTTCAATTTTGCACTGTCAATTTAATTTATTTATTATAATTATTTCTAATTAATTGTAAAATTTAACATCTAACTTAAGAAAATAATGAGCATTAGCTGCCGGAGCATTTAGCTCGTACATGGTTAACAACTGTGATTGTTTCTATGATGTAAGTGAGACTTATTGGTCGCTAGTAGTACCACATAGACCTAAACGTCTGTGGAATAAAAGTTCTTTTAATAAGAGTATATATAAGATAGTAATGATAATTTTTAGTTAAGTATATTGAGTTTACTCTACGAAAAGCAACGTGTCCCCCTGTTAAGTTGAATAACATCATTGAATCCCAGTCAAATGATGTAAAATATCTTAGCATTCATCCTAACAGAACGTTAACTTGGATTAAGCACATTGAAAACAAAAAGCTGCAAAGACTTATTAATAAAAATTCTAAACTAAATCTGGAAAATAAAATCCTGGTATATAATATAATTCAATCTTAAAACCTATTTGATAGTATGACATACAACTCTGGAGTACAGCATGCGTTTCTTATATCGAGAAAATACAGAGAGTTCAAAACAAATTACTTAGGCAAATAACCGGTGCTCCTTGGTATCTCAAAAATTTACATAACCACAACGATCTCGGAATCCCAAGAGTTACAGAAGTCATTAGAACATGGGGCCAAAAAGTATAAAGTAAAACTTCACTAGCATAGTAATCCAATGGCACAAAAGCTGCTTTGTGATACCAGATACCAGAATAACATATCTAGACTAAACCGAAAAAGATTTATACCACCTTAACGTTATTTTGATTAAAATTTCTTTCTTTTGTTATAAATTTTGATAAAAAAAACTCATTTACTTCTTTTTATAAATTTTAACTTCTTTTTTGCTCCTGTTAATTGCATTATGTTCAGTTTACAAGATTTATTTATATACTTGTCAATTTCTAAGCAGAAAGATACAATTAACAATAAAAAAGTAAATTAGGTATTGTAAGTTTCAAGATAAGCAGAAGGATGACTGTCTTGGGACACCATTGGGTTGGTGATGACTTCGCAGGCCAAGGTAAACAAGCTAAATGAGTTGATTGCAATAATAAGAGATGCAGTTGTGCGAGCGGAAGCTACTTTAGCTTTAATGACATCCAAAAATTCGAAGGACGAAAAAGGACCCAAATCATTTCGTGGTCTACTTCGGTTAATCCTTCCTTTCTGTGGAGCCACTTGTTGGACAGTGCACTGTCCCAACGTCCCACAACATATATAATTAACTTCACTCTCTTATATTATACTCTTATATGAAAAGTTCGTGCTCTACAACCTTTATGTGCGTTATTTTGGTAGTATGCGTAGCATACTTATAGGATGCTTATTTCAATGAATGCATGGCAGTATAAAACTTACAGTTAGTGCATTACATCGCTTTGTAAAAGGCAACAAGTCTTTTTAAAGTCTTTTTTTTTAATTGTGGTACACAAAATTTAGTTATCTCTTTATAATGTATATATTATATTGTATATCATTTGATAAAAAACTCTTAATGAGAAAAGAATTTGTTAGCTCGCGAAAATGACAAATAAAAATTATGTAAATAATATCTACATTAATTGTTAACTACTCATGCATTGTTTAATTTGCTTTTATTATCACTTCTTCTTTTCTTCTTTATTTTTGGATTAAATCATGTTGTGTAACAACAATTGAATTGGATATATTTATGTGAAATTATGACATATCAAATGATTATGTTTGTGTAGAGCCAGCCGTCCAGTATTCACGCCATCTCTTCGTCGGTCGACCTAGTAATCTCTCGACTGTTAGTTTCTCTACTATTACAATCTTAGCCAGGAGATGATTTTCCATTCTTTGAATATGCGGAATATGCAGATTCCACTACTTCCGTTTCAGTGTACTTCATTTAATTGTGTTCAGTACCTCACAGATTCGCCTAATATCGTCATTGCGTATTCGGTCCCGAGGATTGAAGCTACCTATCAAGCGCAGAGTGTGCATTTCACTTTAGGATATAGCATGTTCGGTGGTTTTCATAGCAGCTCTTGTCTCAATGGCATACGTCGATATAGATCCAACGCACGTTTTATATATTCAGACTTTTTCTCTTACGCTTAGATATTTGTTTCGCCATTTAGTATCTCTAAGACAACCTCCTACGCGAGCAGCTTTGTTTGTTTGGGTGGTGGATTCAGCACTTAGGACCCTTGATGATGTTATTTTAGCTCCAAGGTAGTTAAATTCAATGACCTGCTCTACAGAAGTATCGTACACTGCAAGTTTGCATCGAAGAGACTGTCTCGAGATTGTTAGGGACTTCGTTTTCGAGGTGGATATTTTCATATTATATTTGTCTGCTGCTTTATTATCACTGTGTTTAGTAATCAAAAAGTGTAAATGACATTTTGTTGCCCAGTATGTTGTGATCCTATGTACATTAAACAATATACTGATAGATTACAGAATAAAATTTTTGTAATAGAAAATAACAGCATATATAATTTGTATTTATATTTGTTATTACCATTTTCAGCAGTAAAAAAATTTGATTGTAAGATTTGGTTAGACAATTTTCAAATATATCATTTTTTTATACTTTTCACATAAAAAAGTGAGGTGTTTTAAAATTTTTGTGACGTATTGAAGAAAATATGGTAGAATCCATGAAGTTGAGCTTATTTAGATCTGTTCTTCTGCTTGTGTTTCTGTTTCATCCCAAACTACTCTATAATGTTTTGAGCTATTCGAATATCATAAATTCGGATCATTTGACAGATTGGTCGTATGAGCTGAACAAAATGATTAGATATATTCATACAAAATTTGGTATAGAATTTACATTTATTAATATGATAGCTGCCATATAAACTCCAGAATCGCAGATAAAAGTTAAAAAAACTTTTTTATTTTCTAATCTAGGTACTTCAAATTTAGAATTTTAGCAAAATTTAAACTTATAACGATGAAAAGGTCTACAAGCGCTGAAGCAAGTTGTCATATGGAGAAAAAGTCATACTAACCCCTCCTTCAACTTTGATAGCTAACGAAATATAAGCGTGAACAAGTTATTTATAGCAGTTATTTTAAGTATTATTATATATTATAAAATATATGTATAAGACCTCAATTTAGATTCAAAATTCGGTGTGAAATGTACCCAAGCTTCGGCAATGCCAAAGCTAACATCTATCTATTTTTTTTGGTTAGATTCTTACTAATACTACGTTTACACTTGCAATTATTGTATGGATTTTGTATAAAAATTATATTGCTGCATATACGATGAGTTAAACTTACTGTGTAAACGTACTGTAAGTGTTACCAGCTGCTAATTATAATAATACATATCCTATACTAACAACTAAACAAAAGCAAAAACTCCTTCGAATATGTTTTTTATATTGTTGACATTTAAAATAAAACATTTTTTGACATAATAATATAGAATTCTTTTAATGAATCAATGATTTTTCTCTGCTCAAGTTATAGCCGAAATGTATATACATATATTTCCAAATTTGAATTCTTAGATCATTTCCTGATATATTAAAAATAATGTCATTTGTTTCAGCTAACTAAAATCAAACAAATAAATATGTCTTCAAGCAATGCGAACGCTATTATTCATCCATATGGATTGCAGTTGGAATCATCATCTGTAACAGATATGGTCAATCAAATTGGTGCTACACATGACTATCCAGCCGGAATCCGTCGTCTGGACTCAGCTGCTCCAAGCCGTTCTGTAAATTCAAGTGCCAAAAAATTACAAAATACAAACAAGAAGATTTCATTATCACCACAAAGACGTACTAATCATAGCTACCTAGATAGCGATGGCTTGCAGAACCTAGAACCAGCTAGCATTATACATCCAGAAGACACGTTAGAATATTTTATTAAGTTTCCGACAACGAACTATAAAAATGGAATAGATTTGCCTGATTCGGATTATGTTTTCGTTTATAAAGAAAGTAATGTTCCTATAGTTATGTTGTTGGGTTGGGCAGGTTGCCAGGACCGTTATCTTATGAAATATTCTAAAATCTATGAGGATCGTGGGTGAGTAATAAAAGTATTTTAAAATAACTTCTTTTTTTTTCAAATATACTCAACATAGAATATATCGAGAATTTGAAGTAAGACTTGTTTTTAATTTAATAAAATTGATCGTATTTTTTTTGCAAAACAATTTTGGTTTAAGTTAATCCAAATAGATAGTATACGAATTCGAAACATTTTCTGGAACTTGTTTATATATTTTTAATTATATTAGCTCCTTGTTTTAATGGCTCAAAATTTCAGTTTTTTGAGCCATTGTAAGAGAATATGCTATCTTGATCCCTCCGAATACTCTGGCAAACAAATAATAGAAATACTATGTGGATTGATAAGTACCTGACTTCAAAACAGATGGCAACGCCAGAATAAAATCAATTATATTTTGTATACCTAACAAGTTTTAAATGATAGCTGTGAAAGTTTCATCAAACTTTTAACTAGCTTTTTGCAAAATAATTGAAATAATGCATCTTGGTGACATTTCAATATTGTTTAGTTATAACATTCCTCCATTTAAAAAGACGAAAGTGCTAAGTTCGCGTAAACAGAATCTATTTCCAATTTGATTGCATCATTGTTCATTCCTTTCAAATGGAGGAATATTAGTACTGAATGATATTTAATTTTTTCCGTTAAATTGGTGCCTGAGAAAATTCCTTGGAATCACCAATGGGGCATTTATCGGGGCATTATCTAGATGCATGTGTTTTTTAGAGCTCCTTGAGCCTTCAAGGCAGGCTCACACTGAACAAAATTGGTTTCTGTTCAAACAGTGCCAGATGGTAATTCTATTGGAATCAATGTTATCGAAAATCAGATCCCAATTCTCTCAGTTTCAACGATTCTGCATATTCTAGGAATGTTCCCATTGTAGGGGAATTGATGAAAAAATTGTGTGACATTCTGAAAAAGTTTAAGTTGTTGTGAAAACATTAGCGGGGACATAATGGCCTCTTGGTTGCTAATAATGTTAATGTTCCTGTCGAATATTTTATTGTAATAAAGCTACAGAATAACAATAACAATACAATGATATGTAATCGAAATGGTACTAATAGATTGAGTTCTTTAAAACTCTTATTTTACACGAATACATTAAAAACAGAAGCTTTATATATTAATTTTTTATAAGGAATTTGTTTAGTAGCAAAGGCAATAAATTATTATTATAGATAAATTTCATAATTGTGTAAAAATTATTTATAGATATGATTATGATAAAACACAAGTATGGGGATTTATAAATTTCATATTATTTATAGATGATTTCAATACTGATAACTTATCATTGAAATGTAATGCAAAAATATTAATAAAAATAAACAATTACTATTTATTGGCTATATTTCAGGTTGCTACTACGAGTTTATTTTTGTTTGATCTAAAACATTTATTAACAAGAATAAACATTATTGATAAAAATTTGAAGTTAGATAAAAATTTGGAGTCATCATTAATAATATCATATCATATATTTTCTTAATATAATATTTAATATCATTTAATATTTTTCAATATTAATACCAATAAATAGCAAAAGAATATTACAATAATTTATGCCTTTGCTGATGGGGACGGTTTATTTTTTTTTTGCAGTAGATGGAAAGCATCGAAAGTCAGAGCGTGAGACTTGAACCCACTAAAACCACCTGTTAGGAATGAAAGGAGAAGATTTCCACAGCAATGTGGAAACTTCATTCCAGTAATCATGGGAGAGAGGAATGAGAAAATAGATTAAATACCTAGTGAATACCTAGGATCATCTAAATCAGAAAGTAAGGGCATGAAATAGGTAGGAAGGTCGATATAGAAGGGGGACGGGTTACGTCTAACTAGCGGGGGTGGAATCAACAATATACTTTGTGACTAGGGTCACGAAAGCCGCGGGGATAGTGGAGAGGTTATGGTCGAAGTAGTGGGAGTGTTTTATAGTCAACTTATTATATAAAATGTTCATTTTAATAACTGAATATATAATAAGGAACTGCTAAGAGAAATCAGATTTCAAATAAACAACACTATTTTTTTTTTGTTTAACTTTTGAAGTAGATTATTAATGTAGTGATTGCACTTTTTTTTAACGTTGCACATCTTCTTTGGTACTATGACCCCAATTCTGTATGATTCATCTAATACCATGTTTCCACTACTTACTTAGTATGATACTTAAGTAACTTTAAGATTTAAGAATTTATTAAATATTTACTGTCTCATTACGTTTGTTTACAGGTCAGCTGTCCTTGAATTTATTTATTTAATAATAAATAAATTTATTTTTAAAGTTTGCATTCGACATTTTTGGTATAATTTTCTCTACTTTATATTTAAGTAAGTTAAAAAGCGCGAAAGCTTTTTTGTATGGTTGACGAAATTTACTTAGTAAGTTACACTTACTAAATAAGCAGTGGAAACATACTATAATCCTTTAGAACTTGGTAATTAAAGACAATTTGTGGCCCTTTGCTTCTCATAGGATTCACAAGAACTAATATATATTAAAGACAATAATAATATAGCTAATATACTAATAATGACATACATAAGCTAATATAGATCCAGTTTCTAACAAACAATAACTTATCTAAATATTTTAACAATAATAATATACACATATGGTCATATAAGTATACCTCTGAGTAATTATATATACATATTATATATATGAGGCGCTCTTCGTCAATATCTGAATGGATATCCGTTAATTATTAGTTTAGTTTTTTAAAAAATTTTATTTAAACCAATATTTTGACTATAATCTATTATCATCATTAGGTTATTAAAACAATAAATTATTAAAATTATTACATATAGCATCTTGAGTAATGAAGAGTGTCATTAGCAATATATTTTTATTTGATCTGGAGGTGTGATAGATCCATACTTTTTTTAAAACTGACGTAAGTGTGTCATCAATCATCAATACTGATCGCTATAGCTACATGATTAGTATTTTTTTTTTTTTTGCATGAAATACGTGACATGAAAGTAATGTGCAAAACACGTCCTAAGAAATTCATTTCAAGTTTAAGTAATGGGATTTGTGCACCAACATCATGCGATTTATTCCTAATGGACTTTTTTGTGAAGTAACATAAAGAATTATGTTTATACGGACAACCCTCAAATTCTCGACTTTTTGTAAACGGATATAAGTCATGTTGATGGCGAGCTATATGCTCACAAGTCATCGATAAACATTTCAAATGATCCAGTGATATATTGGGAAAATGAAAACTGTATATTGAAATAAAAACTCAATCACATCATCAGTACTAAAATATTCATATATTATATGTGTATAGTAAAAATCACGGGATTTTTAAAAATAGTAATTATTAATACAACATTCTGAATTTCATTCGAAAGGCGGAATGTCTTCTGTTTGGTTAGGGTCAGTTGCAGCACAAAAGATCAATCTGGTCGTAGTTGTCTGCTCCGTTGGGAGCTAGTACCCCGTATATTTCTATTCTATTTTATTCTATAATTTTTAATACAATTATTTATATTTTTAATATATAATGTATATTATAATATGCATATAATAACAATATATCATTTTGATTGATTTCAATTATGCTCTAACTTTCAGTTTAATAACGGTGCGCTATACTGCACCAGTTGATACACTTTTCTGGAACCGTACAGCAATGGTACCAATCGGTGAAAAAATTTTAAAGCTGATTTACGATATGAATTTTGATGGTCATCCCGTCATATTTCATATATTTTCCAATGGTGGTGCATATTTATATCAACATATATCACTCGCTATTCGTAAGCATAAGACACCTATTCAAATACGTGGGATGATATTCGATTCAGCACCTGGCGAACGCCGTATGTTAGGACTTTACCGTGCTGTTCAGGCAATTTATGGCAAAGAAAAACGCAAATGTTATGGCTTTACAGCATTCTTGATTACCATGACATTGAGTATTATATGGTTCGTTGAGGTAAATATTCCATAAAAAATAATATTTATTGTACTGTTATACATTCATATGTACGTCGGTTATGTGTTAAGTTAGATTAAAATCGGATGAGGTCTTAACATAGTACTAAAGAAAGTATTGTGATGTTAATGAATTTTTGACTACAAATGATTCTAACTATAAAGAAAGCATTTCTCTCGATAAATGAAACGCACAATATTTTCTGTTTAGTGGACTTAAAGGATTTATCTAACGAATTATAGGCGGAGTAAAGAATTGTAGATGTAATATTTTTCTGTCTGAAAGAAAATTAAATATAAACAAAAGTCAAGATGTTCCTGAAGTTAATGTAATTTTTTTTGCATTATTTAAATCACAAATTAGATTAAATTAGAGCTAAAGTCAATTAGATAATTAGAACCAGTTCATTCGTCGTTGCAAATCCTTAAATAGAATAGCTTAGTATTTGGATGTGATATTTGGAAACCGATATAAAAAAAAACTGTACTTCTTGCAATATATAATCGGACACTATCTCGATAGCATGATATGCTTCACATAGAGGTATTATATGCAATGATTATTGAAGCATCTCCAAAGATGAAGAGTAAGATGACAGTATTAAGCCCATGCTCTTTTTTAATATGAATTATGCCTTTTTGGAAAATGCATTCGTCGAAAAAGCCATCTAGAAGCCTGAAGAACTGTCACTACTGACTCAAAAAATCAAAAAAACAAAAAAACGCAAAAATGTCATAAAATTTGTTTTTAATTCAATAAAATGTCATAAAATTTCAATAACATGGAATGAGTTTTACCTTACCGGCATATGTATTACATATGAATATTTAGGTTATGGTCAAGTAAAAACAACCTTATTTTTTTATATAATACTCGCAATTGCTTTTAATCATAATTTTAATATGTATATGTATATCGTAGGAAACTTTTGCTGCTTTTAAAAGTTTATTTGTCAAAGTAGAACCAACGCAAACGAATCCTTTCTGTGGTCTAAAGAATGAAACTAATACGTTTCCGCAAATGTTCTTGTATTCAAAAGGAGATGTGGTCATACCCTATCAGGTATATTATAACAAATGAATATATATATATATTGTATATATGTACATTTCACAATAAAGTAAAAATAAATTTTATACTTTCTTCCAGGATGTTGAGAATTTTATAAAGATACGTGAGCAACAAGGTGTACAAGTCTCTTCGGTGTGCTTTGAAGATGCTGAACATGTGAAGATTTACACAAAGTATCCTTCTGAGTATATACGCTGCATATGCACTTTCATTAATAATTGCCTGTCGATGCCGTTCAAGGGATCGGACTCTTATGCTACCACAACACCTTCTTCTGTAGCCTCATCCAACGAAAAATATGATTAAGAGGTGATAGCTATTAGCTTTAATTTACAATTATCTTTATTCTGTTCCTTTGTTATTTGATACCAAAAGTACGACATATAAAATTGCAAAACAAAAAGCACACAAAGTATTAGTAAATTTTTTGTAGATATAACATATAATGTGTAAGTTTCTTAAAGAAACTGCTAATAGTTTAATAATTGTGATAAAAGCTGAACTAACTCGAGATACAAATGAGATACAAAATTTACTTGCAAAGCATACCATATAATCTGTATGTTTCGCTGTTATTTTACTATAATAAATAAATGAATAAATTAAAAAAATTCTACAAACGCAAATCAAATAATAATAGCAATAATAATTGTTATCCTATTTTATATATCGAAGAATCTAATATTGAATAATTATGAAGCTTTAAGTAGCGCACGAATTTAAAGAAAAATATTTTTACTAAACAGAAGAGAATCAATTTGATTTGATTTGATTTAGAAACTACATATATGAAATTCTTATAAGTGAAATTAATTTCTTTTGCAAAAAATTTAAAACTTAGACATATGAAATTGTATTAGCACAAACAATGTTATTTTTAGTTATTGTATAGAGTTTAACGAATTAAAAAAAAAAAAAAAAAAAAAAAAAAAATTGAATTATGTATTTTCAAATTTTACGAGTAAATCGACGGAGTGTGACCTGTAGAGCTATGTGAAATAATTGTAAGTGACTGATTGTGATGTGTGTAATAAAAATTCAGGAATATAAACAAAAGTGTTTCATTGCAATATAATTATTAATATTTACTTTAATTTCTGGTTTTGTGTCCAACATCATCTAATGCTACCTAAGCTATCCAAGCACAGTGTTCTGTTTTAATTCTTCAGCATATTGAATAAGATTTTACAATGCATATCTAGATTTTCTCCAGACTTTATACACAGTAAAAAAACTCTCTTAAAGGGAGTTAAGAGTTCTGTTAAGTAGAAACAAGACCGTAGTGAACCGTAAAAGGAAGTACCTACTTTGTCTGATAAAAGAAACCTGAGCACTTAGTAACATTAAACAGTAAAGAGAGATTTCTATTCAACTTATAAATCCATATGTCTATTATATACCATAAGTATATTTCATAAGCCTATTACCTTGCTTATCTAAGCTATTTGAAAAAATGTTTATGAGAAGATTAGACCCTATTCTACACCAAAATAAACTGATTCCAGACCACCAATTCGGCTTCCGTAAAAAACACTCAACTATCCAGTAAGTATGGTACATCGTGTTACTAACAAAATTTCTCTTGAAAAGAAACAATTCACAATTGTTTCTAAGATGTAGTGAAGGCTTTCGATAGTGTTTGACACGATAGACTCATTAATAAATTAACAAACATTCTGCTGAGAATTATATTCAAATACTTAAGAGCTATATCGGTGAACGTTACTTCTATTTAAAGCACAAAGACAGTATCTCCAAGATCAAAAACATAGAAGCGGTTGTATCTCAAGGTAGTGTCATAGACCTTCTCGTCTATCTACTTCCTACAGTCGATGTCGCAACCTCAACGAATGTTAATAAAATGATTGCTACCTTTGCGGACGATACTGTACTATTCGCGTCCAGACTTCTTTATTATTAAATTATATTTATAACGTTAATATATTCGATGGATTAATTCGTGGACATTACCTGCATGTTTTTATGTACGATTATTTTTAATAAAAAATAGTTAAATAAATTAAAATAATAATAAAGACATATTTAGGAATCATTAATAAATATGTACATAAATTCTTTTTTTATATAATTGTAAGCATTTTCCCATTCTCTATTATTTAGTCCATCTATTTTCAATGGACTAATTACTTGACATCATTTTTATATAAGATTATTATTGATTAAAATAAAGTTAAATAACTTAAAGTAATAATAAAGATATATTCTATAATATATACTCCATTTTATACATCAACTACTTCAGAAATACGCAATATGATTTTCTAAAAATATTTATATCAAATCTTAGATTATTATTTCTCCACGTACAGCTATAGTGGACTTCTTGGTTCCAAGAACGTTCGGGCCTACGTCCCGGAGCCACTCGTCACCTACGACGGCCAAGTACCGTTCAACACCTCCCAAAGGGACTTCACAAGCAGATCCCGACGGGTTACAACAACAACATAGTGGACTTCTTACTTCTATTACTAAGTATATTTGAATAATCTGTTATGTGATTGTAAGCTGCATTTATTTTTTGTAGAATTCCATGGAATTTTTAAGGCGTGATATTTTTTTTTTTTTTTGAATGTTCCACTGAAAACTATTAATTAGGTTATTAAAGATGTTTTTTAAAAAGTGAAAAAGAACTGACAAACATATAGACTATACATATTTTTTTAGATTAGACAAATTGTTCTAGATATGTTTATCCGTTTCACTGTATATTATTATTACTACATGCTACGATGTACTGCACCTAGAGCATATCTAGAGTGCATGGTCTTTCGTTTAGATGCTAATAAATATTAGCTTGGTCGGGGTTTCTTGTTTCAAAGTTTGTAAGATGACACAACAGCGTCGTTACTGAAATGATGGTAAAGCTTTTAATATCAAAAGCAGGACATTTGCAAAAAACCTGCCTTATCTTTTCATTGACACTTTTACAGAATAAATAGAGATCGGCGTTGGAGATACTCATTTCATTAAGGTAATACTTTAGCTTGCAGTGACTAGAAAAGTAGCTTTTTTTAGTGTGTTTTTATTTTATTTTATTTTATGTTTTATTTTATTTTTTCAATCTATTTATCTACAATCTAAAACAATCTATTTATCTATATATATTTTATTAAACGATAAATATTATGCAGATGTAATTTCACCCAATTTATTTGTTATTAATTTTATTAATAATTTTAGATTAAAAAATTTTATTTTTATAAAACATGCGTTCATATACATCTTATGTACATAAGAGAATTAAAATTGTTTTATTCTCTGCAATTATTTTACAATATAGAATACATATACATATATATATATATAACCAATATGGTCAAAAATAAACTTTTCGTCGGTTATAACAATATCATCTAAATAGTTTATAATTAAGTTCTGATCGCATCGATTTATAAACCTTTTTTAAGTTATTTATTTGGAACAAATTTAATGGATCCAGCCTAACGTTTTCTTCTAAATCCTGCAGTCCAAGATAGCTTTCAGTTTCACATTGTAGTCGCTAAATGTAAGATAATTTTAAGAGTAATTAGTATAAAAATATATTTAAAAAAATTCTTAATATAATTTAAACAAAACAATTTTTGAAAAAAATTAAGTAAATACACACATATATTAGGAATATTCAAGATCTTGAGTAACGAATTTAGAATTTGACTAACTTACTAACACTCTATAGTGCCACTAACCACGTAAGTGTACGATCTGTCGTTATGAGAGAGCGTGGACTTGTTGAATCTATTTTAATATTTAAAGAAAAAACTTCTATTTGTGATTCACATCACTTCTATTTGTGATTCACATCAGCATCTGATTTCATGGTTTTATAGTATGTTTCCACTGGCTGCGTTAGATCAGTTAACTTACTTGAGATTGCTTGAATTGCTTGAATCACAACTTCTAACGAAGCTAATGGAAACGTACTATTACAGTCAATTGTTGAAAGGGTAAATTGTTAGCTATTGTTATTATTTGTATTTTATTGTAGAATACGACACGATACGGTTTTGCTTTCGTAAATTTTTATCTGAAAAACACCATATTAATCGTAAGTACCTGCCGCTAGATGTGTAGGTGTGTAGTTTTTATGTTTGAGTGATCAATGTAAAAAGTATACAATTTTAAAGCCCCATACTTTTAAGAAGAAGTATGATAAGAATATCTATATGTTCAAAATTTTGAAAATTTTCAAACTTCGTTGTCAAATCTATAAATACTGGAAATTAGAATCTCCTCAAGAGATTATTTTTGTTATAAGAATTTTTTTATTTTGCAAAATAATTTAAAATTACTGATATTTTTTATTAAAAATATAAAGATCAACAACGATTAGTCTTAATACATTTTTAGAGAGATTCGAATAGCAAAAAAGAGACAAAGGCAAAAATTTTGGTTAATTTATTAAAATTTGGCAGACCATACAACAATTGACAATACTTATAATCACGGGTCTTAGGAAATATTCGAAATTTTTTTCTTTGCTTTCAAATCCGTCGAATTTTTAAATAGTTTCCTTTCGTCTTTTCGTTAACGTATATATTTTTAATTTTTATTTTATATAAATGTAGCACATTTCAGTAGAGAATTAATTAAATTACTAGAAACACAATAAATGGAATGTTTCTATTATAATAAAACTCAGGAAAACAACTTACCATTACTAGTTCTAACGCAGTATTTTCAATATCTGTATAATTTATTATATCCTTGGAGCCAACAAATTTTTTTATCGCACTTATGATGTATAACTTAGTATAATACAAGACAACAGGATCTGTTGACTTTAGTACTAACATATTTCGATCCGCTTTATATTCTAGTATTAGTTTAACAGACATAACATATAACTCGATTGTGTCACTGTCTTTAATTTCATCAATACAACAATCAAATATCCTTAATATATTAAGAAAAGTACAAGTTTGTGGGCACTGTAAGGTGTGCTTGATTAAATTACTTTTTGTTGGAACAAGTTCCTCTCGTTGAAAATTCGCTACAAATCCGCTTATATTATGTGTATTGTAGAAAGTGATGCAATGTTGAAATTTACTAAATAAATTGCTGTATGTGGTCAAATGAGGTTTTAAATTAATGGGCAGTGTTATAGCCAAACATCTGCTTTCAACTTTTAAAAATGTAAGCATTTGAATATTGAAGTTCGGCAACACCTGCAGCATTTTCCTTTGTAAAGGTAGAATAATACATAATTTTTTGTTTAATAATTTATTAGGAATATGTACCATATGAGATGAGCTTGTAATATCGATATGTAGTTGCCAATGTGCGGTTTTAAAAATGTTGTTTTCTGTTATACGAAGGTGTAATAAGGCAAATAGTGTTTCACTTTGCAAGAAATAATTTTTGTTAATGAATAATATCACAGTGTCTTCTGGAAAAGTTGTCGGTACTTGCATATGAAATTCTAATGATGCATGCAACAGTTTTGTGTAAATAGGCAGTTTATTACACACAGCAATTAATTTTTGTTTTGAGAATTGTTTTTCAATTTCTTGACGTATTTTTTGAGGAGCATGTGAAAGTTCAGCGACTATTTCGGTTTTTTTTAAAAATTGTGTTATTTTATTAATTGGTTTTAACTCGTACAAATCTTCAATTTTTTCAAATTTTGATTTGGTATCATAAATTCCTACTGTATTATTCTCGTGAAATTTAACTTTATAAAATATATTATTAGAATTCAAACACACCAGTTCCTGTGTATTTTCAATCCAGGTGCAAGCCACAACTCCCGGTATACTCTTAAAAGTTTCCTCAATAATATAAACATCTCGTACACTTTCATATAGTATTTGCAATTGTGCTACCTTTTCAGAGTCACTATAATAAAAGCAAGCCTTTTCATCGCTCATATCATAAGAATTATAGACTGATCCAATATAGTGGGACGAATGCTCTTTCATGTCTATGGCTTTTGATATAAACCAAATATCTATGGTACCACATTGTAAAAATACTATAAGTAGTTTGTGGTTGGTGAGCACCTTTATAAATTCCACGGGAGATGCATATGTAAAAAATAATTCTATGTCATACGCAGGTGTAGTATTAACATCAATGTCATCACCTATAAATAAAAATAAATAAGTTTCAAAGGTAATTATGTTATAAACTTATACCTACCAGGAATGACAATGAATATACTGCATGACACTGTGAAAAAGAAAAATTCCATGTTAGGTTTAAGAGTGATGTCATTTAGCATTAAAATATCGTTCAGAAATTGAACATTTTCTTCATCCACAATTTGTGATAATATTAAAAAGCGATCATCTTGCCAACGGCAATTAAATAAATTTCGCTCATCAAATGAAATATCATAGCGCTGTAGAAGAGTAGATGTACATTTTCCTATATTCGGCATATCGGCGTACACCTCTAAACTTAATGCATTATCGGGCATTAGACGGATTATGCTAAACCCATTCTTTGATCTGGTCATGCAGCGTACATTTTTAAGCCAAGAAATTTTATGCGTCTTTTTAGCTGAACTAAAATAATAAATTTTTCCGCTACGCATCAGTAGCAATGTATTTAGTTTTAATACAAATATATTACTTATAATTTCTTTCTTTGGTATATATACGTGATGTTCTTTCAGCGCATTTGTTTTTAATTTAAATACAAAATTAATTAAATTGTCTTCACTCCACGTAACAAATAGAGATTTATTTCCCACAGTATGACTTACTAATCCAAGTGGATAAAATAACAAATCCTTAATGCACCATAAATTTTTATTCGCATTCGCTATACTGCACTCAAGTTCCACGTCTGTTTCCATTTCACATGTTGATGATCTCCAAGTAGATTCATTTTGATCATGACTTTTAAAAAAACTTAAATCATATGACATATTATTTTTAGTTTCATTTATGCATCTAATATTAAATTTAATAAGTTTTGTAATTTAAATATCTAAACAAATTAAACACAACATTTCCCCAACTTAGCCAACCCGCCAAAACCAGCCGTCAAATTATAGTGCTACCAAGTTACAAAACACATGAATAGCTTATTGTAAAAAATACCCTTCTGAAGCTATTCTCTAATTTTTTTTTATGTATTTACTTCTTTTACAAATGAATTCATTTGTTTTTAAAAATTATTTATATTCGAATCTAGAAAATAAAGTTTTTAAAGAAAAACCCGTATGTATGTGCTTATGATATTTGCTTATGATATTAATTAAAAATTGGATTATAAATTTTTGGCGGATTGGTGTTTTATTATATAAATTATATATTATTTTTATATATTATATTTTGCTACAACATATGTGTGCAGTTACAGAACAAATGAAATTCATTAAACTATTAAAGAAATTAGATGTGTGATGTCTAATGAAGAATGTGCTTTGATAAATAAAAATGTACTAGCTAGAATGTATAGTTGGGATCGATACCTTAGTATAGATAAACTAATTTGTGGAATTTTTGAACTTTTGTCATTTTCTGGTTTACCAAAACACAATCTAACATTAGAAACATATTGTATAGTTGTAATAAAGCAAGCTTATATTATTGGATCTAGAATGCGTGTCGACATTGTAGAATAATGCTATCGGAGAATAATGCTAACGGATTACTGAAATAGATCACTGAAATCGAATTTTGATGAGTTAAGTAACGATTGTTTAAAAAAATAGAAAAATTCCTAATCTTTTAGTAAGCTTAAAGAAGGAGGAGAATATCTTCGAAATTTTTTAGGACGTAAAATATTTTTGTATTTATCGTTTTAAATATTGTTTTAAACAAGTCACAAATTCATGAATGATTTCGATATTGTAGGAACATACATGTTATCATTATTAATTAAATACATGAATATTCATTGATTGAAAAGTTTAGTCGAAATTATATGGAAAAATGATTGCTACTAATTGTTCATCACACATAAGTTAAAATTAAACAGCAATCTAACACATCACTCAATAAGTCGTGTGACTGACACACAGATGGCGCTGCCATTATCAAATCCATATGGCGTTTATGAATTACCAATCTTCAAAGGACTATGTGTAAAATTTGATGATATTTCGATTAGTCAGAAAAAAAGTAACAGCCATTTAAGTGAAATTACTTTTGTTATTTTCAAAACAATGGATTCAAAACAATTTCGTGTGTTAATTTATCATTGCTTCTTGATGAAAAAAAATACTGTACAAGCTAAGCAATGGCTTCAAAAGTGTTATCCGGACTCCGCTCCATCGAAAAGAACCATTTGTTATTGGTTTGCTGAATTTAAACGTGGTCGTACAGACACCGATGATGGTGAACGTTCTGGTCGTCCAATTGAGGTGGTTACTCCAGAAAACATCAAAAAAGTCGAGGAATTGGTTATATCTGATCGTAAATTGAAATTGCGTGAGATTGCTGAGACCGTTAAGATATCAGAAGGCAGTGTGTTTACAATTATGCATGAACATTTGACCATGAGAAAGCTCTTTTCAAAGTGGGTGCCGCGTTTACTCACAGTCGATCAAAAACAACAACGTGTTGATGATTCAGAGCAGTGTTTGGCCATGTTTATACGTAATAAATCAGATTTTTTGAGTCGATATGTGACAATGGATGAAACATGTATCCAACACTTCACTCCGGAATCAAAACGATCATCATCTGAGTGGACTGCAGACGGTGAACCACGTCCGAAACGTCCAAAGGCACAACAGTCAGCTGGGAAGGTTATGGCTTCAGTATTTTGGGATGCACATGGTATAATCTTCATTGACTATCTCACTATTGAAGGAAAAACCGTCAATAGTAACTATACAGCATTACTGGATCGTTTAAAAGCAGAAATTGTGAGAACACGACCGCATATGGCGAAGAAAAAAATTTTGTTTCACCAAGACAATGCACCATGTCACAAGTCAATAAAAACTATGACAAAATTGCACGAATTAGACTTCGAATTGCTTCCTCATCAACCGTATAGTCCAGATCTGGCCCCCAGCGACTACTGGCTATTCGCTGATCTTAAAAAAATGCTCGCCGGTAAGAAATTCATCTCAAATGAAGATGTAATTGCTGAAACTGAAGCCTATTTTGAGGTAAAAGACAAATCCTTCTACAAGCACGGCATCGAGAAGTTAGTGAAGCGTTGGAATGATTGTATTGCCCTTGAAGGAGATTATATTGATGAGTAAAATCGATTGTTGGCAGAAAAATTTTTTTTTTCATAGTTAGTTACACGACTTATTGAGTGATACATGCTTGGATATTAATTAAAAATGAAAATATATATTATTCGGTTCATTCACGTTTTTTTATATTTACTTTGTGCAAATTTAATGTTACAAACTATATTAATTGTTTTAAAACAGAAAAATTGTTATAAAAAATTTAATACAGTTGAATTTCGAGGGCTGCTATATTTTGTAATAATTAAAATAAATAATAAAACACACTTGACAAGATATTTATATCACTTAGTTATTTTCATTAGGAAAACAATGCACTACACCATGTGAATCACACCACATCAACTGCATACAGTTTTAGGTACATATAATTATAAATCTCTGAAGAATTATCAGTGTAACATATATAAAAGCCTGTTTGCTTATATATATATATATACAAATAATACCTCAACAAACAAGTTTTATTTTCGCTAAGAGTTGTCAAGAGGTTATCGAACGAAGTGTTCCTATATAGAATTGTTTATACTAACTAATTAATTTTAAAAGACGTTTTAACAGCAAAATAATATTTAATAATTTTTATCGTTTCTAATTATATTTAAAAATATATTTTTGTATAAAGTTAAATTGTTGATTTTGAAAATCAGGTATTTTAGAATTTTAACATCTCTTCAAATACAACATGTATTATATTAATTTTAACCAAGATAAGGTGCAACGTACAAGTGAAAAAGGAATTTTAGTCCCAGTAACATTGAGCTGAAAGTTATTTTCAAAATTGTACATATGTCCTATCTCATTTTCAGAATGATTGTCCGTTGATTGATATAACGATAACTTGGCACTAGCATCTGTGTATGCTTCTTTCAATATAAACCAATTACTATGTTGAACATCGTGACCCAAATGATTTTGTAAACCATTTTTACCATCGAATTTTTCTACAGACGCATTTGGCAATGTTAAGCGGGTGTATGTTCCAATTTCATTGTGACGTGTACGCAAATTTTCTATTATCTCTTCTTTAAGATATTGCAACTCCAGTTTAAGAAGTTCTTCTACAGCATTTAAGGCACAACATTCTGTATTGATATCTTCCCATACTTCATTTGTTGTATTTACTATGTCTTTTTCGACCAATAAGGTATTCGACCTCTCTCTGATTGTAGTTGGAGCACATTTTTGTAAGCGTTGCATTGAATTGCATGGTATTTGACTGACCAAAAAGAAAGCACCGGCAATAGTAATCATACTAGCCGCGTAACTTAAAGCAATTAATGTTAAATTTTTTAGTAAAAATTTTGCTAAGGTAAACGAAGGTATCAACTGCTCAAGCTCCGTATATGTTAACCAACCGCGGTGCAGCCCTTCTTTTTCGGCTATGCTTTTTTCAACAGCTTCAAGTTTATTAAAGAACTGTTCGTTCGATATGTAAATATTCCAATCCTTAAAAGAAAGTTAAGACAAAGAATAAATATGTTAAATTTGGTATTATGAATTTTTTTTTAATATATTTTTTAAACTTACAATTGCATCTAAAAATTCTAACTCTAGTAACTTTAGTTTACTCTTCTTAATACGGTTGTTATAAGCCCAATCGCATAAATAAACTTCTTCATCAAGCCCAGCATAAAATTTTGTTGATATCATCTATAGAGAAAAATAATAATTATAACCACTATTAATTTATTGTTTAAGAATTCATTGTTAATAATAAGTTTCTCATATATTTTATTTTGATTATGATAAATAAATTATTTAATTTCAATATGATTGTGCAAATAGTTAATAATTTTAAATAAATTGTTTATTTTAAGTAATAAGGAAACATACACGAATATGCTATATATAGAAAAGCTTGAATAAAAGGTATAAGGTATAAGCAAATTAGTTGCAATTACTTAAATAAGGAAAGTAGAAGTAATAGTTAATTTAAGGAAAGTTTAAACTCAATAGAATAAAAGATACCTAAAATAGATTCAAAAATCCTTCGTTATTTTCATATTAACAGATAATGTTGAAGTCCACCATAGTAAAGATTCTTCAAACTCTCAATAGCTCTGTGTACAAACTTGTTTGATTTTTATGATTTAGATCATTGTATGTGTTTTATATTAGGTTATACCGTACAATCTATATTTTTAGTCAAATTAATAAATTTATTTTAGTAAGAATAATTAGCGAATAGGGTGTGTTTTAGCACAAAAGACCATGGGTGAAGTTCTTGTTTTTCTTCGGTGGGAGCCGGTGAGGATAAACCCTATACCCTTTGCTCAAATCGAAGTTAGAGATAAAAACTATAAAACAGAACAAATTTTTTTATTAAATATTTTAAATCATCTCTACATTATTTTTCAAGTCACGCGCCTTTTTTGCTAGAAAACAAGAATAACAAGTAAATATGAATTCTTAACCGTAAACAACCAAAAAAAATGTTTGAAGAGTTCTATCAATACGAAGCAAACTACGTGCTAATAGACAGACTAACAACATGTCACACATATAAATATACATATCAATTTGTTTATGTACAATATATAATTGAAAATACATAATAAAATCTACTTTTGGTTGCGTCATTGAATACAAATTATTAGAATTTTTTAAAACAAAAAACAATTTTTGAAAAAATAAAATAATTTTGTATGCAAACGGACGATAGAATATTGGATAGAATTTAATAAGGAATTTAAAATATATAAATTTTTGTCCATAAATATAATTATATGTTTTTTATTGTTAAAGCCATTTTAATTCCTAATTTATTTAATTTTCGTCAATACAAATTTTAGTATAAATGAGGTCACATGCCCATAACACACACCAGTTGATTGTATTGTGTGTACAGGGTGAGTCATTCAGAGAAATATATTACCAAAAACAATTTTCTAAAAATATATACACATTAAGAAACTTATTTGGTTTTAAAATTTTTGAATTCATTAAAATAATTATTTTAATAAAATAATACTTCTATTTCTTAAAACAACGTGAGTCACCCTGCATTGTCTTAGGTGCACGTGTTCGTGTATTTTAGAGATAGCAAAACATCTGCCTTTAGTTGATGTATACGAAAATCATTAAATCTATTAAATATTCTCTTTAAATTATATTATAAGTCCTTAGAGCTAATTGTATTAATATTTAACACCGACTTACCATAGATACGATAAACAGTTCTTGTGGTGATATGCGGCGTACGTACAATGGATCACATAAGTTTAGTCTTTCCAAATAAATAAGTGCCATTATTAACGAACAAGGAGATACATTTACGTTTGGAGTTGCCGCACTACTTAGTCGATTTAATGAGTGCCCCTTATACGGCTCCGAAAACAGTTCTGAAGCGTATTCCGCCATAGGGCGGGAAAGTGTCATTTCTGTATCCGCGGTATCGACACCAAAATAAAGCGATTTACGTATGCGATCTATAAACTCATTGTGAGGCATTACCTGTAAAATTAATAATTTAATTAAGATTTTAATTTAGTTAATGTTTGACTTTACTTGTTTTTGTGACTTTGCTGACGCGTATCTTCCGCGACCCACAAACATTTTGCGGAATATATGTATTATACAATAGCAATAATACTTTTTTATTTAAATTATATTCAAATATTTAAAGAAATCATTTAATAGAAAATAGAATTTGACAAGAATTTTTATTGTTACTTAAACAAAACCACACACTAAATGTTAAGAGAAACTTGTATAGATGGCAAAGTTTATCTGAATTCTACTTTGCTTTCCAAATCGACTTTCACACATTTTTTTTTCATACAAAAATAAGAATAAAAACAATAGTTGACAACTAGGGCTGCCAACGTTTGGAAAATTTGGTATTCATGATATAATTATGTTGATTCATACCTTGCGTTTTATTTTATATATAGTTCTGTTCTATTATTAAGTGTGTCATTGTTAATAAAGAAGAATATTGCTTAAACTGTGAAGGTAGTCTCTGGTTTATAGTGGCAGTATGTGGTGGTTGATAATAGTCTGTGATTTATGGTAGAAGCTTGAATGGTTTAAAAAAAACATGTTTTTCTCTTAACTGGTTAAAAAGAATAAAATACAAAACAGATTTCAAAAGTAATAAGCGAATGTAATAAAAGTGCATTACCAGCGACGAGAATTTTTAAAATGTTGGACTATACAACGTTCGCATTTACTCTGAATGAAAACGTAATTATATAGTTAAGGCCCTCACACATCAATAATTTTACTAATTCAGCTCGTTTGATTCAGTTTGTTACAAAGTTAACTTAAAATCACATTCCAATTTATTACAGAAATCTAAGAACTATAATTATGATTGAATCTGTATTTGTACAATATACTATTCTTCACAATACTATGACTATATGACTGTATTCACACGAAAGTTTTGTTTTTGATATGAGCTGTCAAAAATTATAAAGTAACATCTGATATAAAAAAGCAAAAATAACTAATCACATGACTTATTATTGAACTTTGAATTTTAAAAACGTCGGAAATTGCACATAACAAATAGTGATTTAACACCGAAATAAATAAAACATAAAAGAAAGAATTGCCATAATTTAAAGAATTTGTGGCTTACTTATTTTCTCTATCTAATACTATTTTCTCTATCTAGGCCAATAGTTGTTTACTGGCCATACACTTCAGCCAGTAAAGAAAAAAGTGTTACCAACGCAATAAGCGTACTATTATGAACACTCATTGGAATGGCAACGAATATTGCACTTATATGTGAAAAATCATATGTAAAAAAATTTAAACAAAATTCCAAATTGATATCAACTTGATTGTGTTGATATTACGATACAGTATTAATATCAGTGGCTTGTTTATGTAACTTTCTCACTTCGTTTTCTCGAACGATTTTCTCACTTTTGACAATTAGTTACTCCAAGTGTTTGTCAAAATTAAGAAAAATCGTTCGAGAAAACTAAGTGAGAAAGTTACATAAACGAGCCGCAGATGATAATATATCCATACATATCTTTCTGATTTCAAGTGATTTGGTGTTGAAATGAAGAATACATCGCAATGTCAGCGAAAGTAAAAAATTTGTATGTAATTTGCAAACATCAAAATAAATGTTAAATTACTTCTTAAAATGTTACTTTTGCTTTTCTACTCACACATATACAAACTATCAAGCAGACTTTATGCATCGGATTTTTAATCCGAATAATGAATTTAAGAATTCATCAAAAGTAGCAAGTATCAAAAATTAATGCACTAAAATTAATTCTTAAAAATTGCTTAAGTGTAACATGAGTCAAAACATGAACTTTTACAATTGACATTTGGAAAAATTTTAAATTTGTATATACAATGGACGGACAGACAATTGTGAAAGAATGTTATAAAACCTTTTTTTTTAATACAGTTATATAACAGTTTAAATAAGAACATAATGAAATAAATTAAAAGGTGAAACTGAAGCTTTTTATTAAGTATAGAACATTTTTTGGACTTACTGAAATTAATTTTTCGTTGAATTTTTATGTGTTCATAATAAACGACATATTTTACTTTAGGATCTTTGTACATAAAAATTTCAATTTTACAAAATTAACATTACATTATCTTATTTGTTTAATTTATATTCATGCGATATTTGGAGTTTTTATTTTTATATATCTTTTCACTACATATAGTAATCTATGTTAAAGTTTTTGTTTTTAAGTCCTATACTTTTCATATACCTTTGTTTCTATTACATAAGCATATATTGCATTTATATAATTGGACATATATGATGCTCTCTTAAAACTCTAGTGTGAATACAATGTAAGGTATTTTTGGTTTGTACAAGTATTGGCAACTCTTAATTTTTGTTGTTTTTATTATACATTTCAAATGTGTGCGTAATTTGGCTTTTGCTTGTATGTCACTATTTCTTCTTTCGTTTACATGGAATGTCAGGATATGTTATATTACTTTGTTTACTTAGCGCGGCATCTATAATTTAAATTATAGCTGGTTATTACCTATTTAAACCTTAACTATTTAAAAATTGTTGATATGTTATAAAATAGCGAATTAAAAATGTTTACTTAATGTTTAAACAAACGTGTGTATGTTTACAAAATTAAATGGCGCGTTTTTTTGTAATTGCTTCAGTCAGCTGACAAAGTATTCCTAATGTATTGTATAAATATTGGAATAATAATTAAAATTTTTAATATATGGATATTATATCCTTGCAGAGTTAATTATCATATATAATTGCTTGGAAAATGTGTAAGATTTTAAATATAGTTACGTGAATATATATTGTTCTATGTTTTGTTTAATTATAAGAAAACTAATCATATTATAAGTATTTATTTGAAAGGAAGTATAACAATTTAGTTGCAGTTATTACAGGGAACGAAATTGATTTTTTTAGAATGTCTAAGAAGATAAGTTTTCTATTATATTAGAATTGTTAGTTCTAATTATATTTAAGGGAGTAAGGCTCTAAAGTCATGAGATGCATTTAACTGATACATGCAAATTACTTGATAGTTGCTAATATTATGTATTTTGTTGTTTATTTTTTAATTTTTATACAAACAATAGAATAATCTTAATAATCATTGTACTAGTAAAGTATATTATCCTTATGTTGGTTAATATGATATATAATTGGCAATAATTGGCTAATATTAGTGATGTCGAAACTGCGTCTTCTGTTCAAGTAGCACTTAGTCGCAGATTAGTAACCATTGCACGGATATGATATTAGAAGCTTTAAAATGATATTGTGCATCTGAAAAATAAACTTATTTTTGGAAGATATATATTTAGAATATCCACTACGTTAGTTATTTCCAGGTCTTGCCAGATCTGAAGAATTGTAGACAAAATGTCTAGTTATTTTTATTTCTTTTTCTTTAAGGCAGCTTATAAGATTTATAAAAAAAAATTATAAAATTTATCATAAATAAGTATATCTAAATCCCCATGAAATAATCTATAAACTATTTCACAAAGTGCTATAAGATAAATTACAATATGATTTTTTTGTGACTGTTTTAATATTAATAAATTGTAACTTATGCTTCCAGCTGTACAATGGGGCCTTAAATTGGATTATCCAGTTCAACCGAATCCAGAAAAATTTATAACAAATTTTATTAATTTTGTAAGCGATGACTCCTCACAGGAACTCCAAGAAGATCTATTACTGGCTGACGAACATTTTTACAATTTTTTGAAAAATCAAGAAGAAACTGATGAATATGCTTTGAAGAACGCCTTGTTGAATTTGCATACTTTTCTCATTGATTATACAGTTGAGTTTTTCTTTGAAACACCAAAACTTTTTACATTTATTGCAAATCTATTTGAAGAGAACAAATATGAAAATATTGATATAGTAGATATAACTGAGATATTCCACATATATTTGCACAACTTTAAGCAGGGCTTTATAATGCATAAAAAGATGTTTTGTCACGCTTTAAGGCCAAAAGAAAATGACCTTCCCCTGCTACTGTCGCACGAGGCTACGAATAGCATTTTGAGTATATCTTTGCGACGCTTAAAAGATGTGTGGCTGTGTCCTACGGATGGAGCAAATATCTTATACGAACTTATAATCTCATGTACAGAAGTGCTGGAATTGTTATCCCAGCCAGTTGATAGAAACACTCAAACTGAGTTATATGCTTTTGCACAGCAAATCAAAACTCATTACCAGTGCTCAAAAGATCCAATGATGTGTCGTATACAGTACTTGCAGTGTCAATTTATTTTGCAAGATATGGCGTATGGATTCATACAATGCAAACAAAATCCAAATCTTATACTGCTGGACCATCAGCTAGCAGATTACCATTTTGAATTGCATTGTAAGCGAAGGTATCAAAATTTGTTAAACATTTATGCACATGTGAACATGAGTGAAAAATGTGATGCTTTTAAGAATTACAAATTGCACTTTAAAAACGCTGTGGCTATTCTTGGAGGTGACTGTCAGAATTTCAGTAGTGAGATGCTTGTATACAAAGGACCAGACTTAGTATACACGTTATTTCATATTAAAAGCACTAAACTCTGTCAAATACTCCTAAAAGCTGTAACAAACTGCGCTGATCTCTATGAGGAAAATTACGACTTGAAACAGAATGCAGCTAATTTGTTGTTTCTCTTACTAAATGAGCCAAATGAAGATATAAAACTGTATAGCTTCAAGTACATCATATATTACTTGATTTCATTGGTGTTAGCATATAAAGATACAAATCTTAAAATTGATGTGAACACCTGTAAAGCTGAAGCGAATTATCAAATTTTTAGTATTATAGTTAGCACTAAAATTCTGAGGCATATAGCGAATTGGTATTATGCGACCTCAAGTATTGAGATAAAAACTCTATGCATTGAATATTTGTATGCAGCTATGGAAACAGAGCACATATTCAGTGATTATAAATGGGTATATTTCTCGGAGGTGTTTATTGCAGTGTTGCCACTTTTGCAGTGTATCGAGAGTTCAAGCAAAGCTGGAAATCGTTTAGAAGAAATGTTTGATCCTGATTCCCCCAGTTTCTCACTTACGTATCTTCTCAAATGTAACACATTATTTTTGTTCAGTAAGGAGCAACGTCGACGTAGCGAAGCTCTAACACGTATTAGATATTTACTTCATAATATAGACACTGATCCAGCGTATATATCGAATTTCTTTGAAATCGACGAACTGATACCAAATGATGTATGCGTTATACCAGTTCCAATAAATATGGAAGACTGTTTCCGTAAAAATCAATGTGATTTTAATGCTAGACTTCTAATCGATTCACTTAAAGATATGAAATTGAGTTTGATTGACCCTAATCCAACCAATTTAAAAATAGATGAATTTGATGAACTGATGCAAAACTGGGAGGAATGCCAGTTATTCAGTAAAGAGTACGTTGTTTATACATTAAGTGTAATAAGAGCTGCTTTAAAAAATTGCATGCCCGATATTTTTGATCCATATATATTTAAAACTGTCCGACTGATTTTACGAATGTTGCTTTGCAATATGGAGGTACGAAATATCTTGGGTTCAGATATTGAGCCATATGTGCTGCTATTGCGGTTATTGATATACTATAGACATCATGAAATGATCCGCACTTATATTGTTGCATGTTTGTACGTGATGGTGACTGGAAACTATTTATTGGTAACTGAAAACACTTTTCACCTACCGCAAATTTTCGATACATTATATATACCTTTCAATCACACTCTTTTGTCCTGGGAGCCATTAAGCGAATGTGAATCAAGTTACCAAAGGATATTTAAAACTAAGAGAGAAGAAAGAACTTATGCAAAATCTATTGTAAACATAGCTATTTCGAAAAGCTCAAAAAGTCCAAATATAAAGCCCACCGTTAATGATTTAACTCAGCTTGATATATCAACGGACTTATTCGTAACAGATACAGAATGGATAATTTTCCGTTCCACCTCTATTGATTACTGTGTCAATGAAAATGTAAGAGTAATTGATCGCTCTACGGACACATATACCATACTAGTACATCTTTATAGACTTAAAATGTGTTTACAATTTGATTCAAATGAGCTTGCAATTAATAAAGAAACTGTGGCATATATGTTTAATGTTTTGTCTGAATTACTCTTTATGAAGCCTGAAAGTGCGTACGAATTTGATATATATTTACTGGTGATTGAAATTCTAAATTATGCCACGCAGTTAGGCTATGTCAAGGTACTTGAGGGTCTCATTAACATAGTCGCTGATGAAAAAAATCGAATGTTAGCACTCTTACTTACGCCGGATATACCGATTAGACTTTCTTACCATGTCTGTGATTTGTTCATTGTTTTAATAAGTAGAATTAGTTTGGTAAAAGACAACCGCATCATTCCAGATTTATTTTGTACGTTGGACTTCATGTTAAGCGATATATCTAAGGGCATAATTCGTTGTGTATACAATGTGTTGTTACACCTCTCGAGATTTAACTTACATTGCAGCGATACGGAATTACAAGACTATTGCAACAAATATTTTGCTTATTGCTTCCACGCCAAATACTATAAACAATTTGCTAATCCAAATGTACGCATGCTCTTCGAAATTATTCTAAATTTTGTACACCAAATGGAAGCTCCGGAATTGTACTTTAATGTGTGCGATATAAAGTTGCAAAATGATTCACTTTTGCAATACCTGAGCGGTATGTGCAGTGACTGTGATGCAAGAGTGCGATATTTTTCCTGGTCATTACTAACACAATTTGCAAAAAATGAGGACTCCGCTCTAGCAATAATAAACGAACTTAATTACTTTCCTGGTGGCTTTTTGTCCTGTGCAATATCAACGTTTTTGGATTGTACTGAGACAATGAATGTACGTTATATGGCTGGTAACTGTTTTTCGGTTTTATTGGTAAATAATAAAATTGATTTTAAACATATATGTAATGTGCTAAATGTAAACAGATTTGATGAGGAAATGTTTACAGGCCTCAGCCGGTTTACTTACGAAGGATTCAAATCAAATCATTTAAAGAAGGATGGGCGTGCTTATATATCGGCTGAGCTTATAGTTATTGTAACTAAAATATATAAAACATTAATAGATATTCACAAGCCATTTGCAAAAGAATTAATTAGAAAACCAATAATGTCTTATCTTTGTAAAGTTGTAGGATGTACTTCCTTCAAACAAGATGAGATATTTTACATAATGTGTGCAAACGTTTGCCAGCTATACTGGTGTTGTGACCCAGCTTTTGTCGATTGTGTTCTTTGTTCCGATATCGATTGGTTTAAAGCATTTTATTCATTCTTTCATTTCGAAAATGTTAAACGAGAAATTGTAACAATTTTCATCGAGTTTCTTATGTTTTTGTGGGATGTAAATAATGATGTATATAAGCAAATATGTGATGAAATGCTTAAAAAGCCTTCGCCAATGATAACACTGATTGTTATGTATATGAAAGATGAATCGCGAATGCAGACCACAGCATTGACTCTTTTGGAAGAACTTTTATTAAAGTCACAAGAAAACAAAAATATAAATAAAAATTTTGCACATGTCTTGGAAGAGCAAATTTTTCTCAAACCTAATTACTATAAGGTGATCTTTGGAAAAGAACAGTTTAAAGAAAAAAGTGCTGTGCCCGAGTTAAATCTTACAAAAGGATTGAAACTTCAAGGTAAGTTCTAAATTTATTCAATAAATATATTTTTTATTCGATTGCTGAACATGCTCATGCATACCGGCTCATTGCATCAATAATGACTAGCCGATGTCCCTTGCTACGCTTATATCTGTTCTTATCACCGATGTGGGCCAGCTGATCTTTAAACCGAAACGGTGTATTAATAAATAACGTTTGCACTGCAGCAAGGTTTACAATAAGCATCCGTCTGCTATTCTTAGAAATGAAAGAATACTTCTTTATGTAAGAAGAACTGCCCGAATCTAATTAAGATTTGAATTTGGTGATGTGTTAAACAATGACTTTTCTCATATAAACACGTATATTCTCAATGTGTGATTAAACTATCAATCTACAATCCTCATAACGTTGCTAATCTGTTTTACATCTAACCATAACATATCAATTTGGGCGCTACTGATTTTTCTCATTCTTTCGTTAAGAATGCGAAATTTTTTTTACCTTAATCCAAGTAAGTTTTAACACCCACCTCAATCACATCACACTATCTTAATTTTTATTTATCGCACATATTTGTCATGTAATCTATTCATATTTTTGGTCTACTGCTCTCTTCTTAGGGAGTATTTAATAAATTTAAATATCATAATTATCATTTTAAATTTTGACTCCATTATTGAAGTTTCTAATTGTAACATATACTAGATTGGTAAAAATGGATGTTCTCATAAACGGATATCTGCTTATAACCGTGTAATGTAGCTGGACCCTTCTTCTTTTCAATTTTCATATAAGTAAAGTACATTCTTTTAAGCTACTTTACCCGTTTGCCCTTTTGAACCCGTTTTCTTAACTAAGTTGAATTTATAGTTCCATCAATCTCCGCTTTACTTTGTTCTGAATTGAATTGAATTATTCGCTGATTATTTAAACGTATATAATTATTATCTATTTAAGTTATTAATTTATTGATTTTACATTATAAATTTTTAGTGGGGAGTTTGCTGTTTCAGTGTCTAAATGGAAAATTCGAAGAGAATGGCCGCACAAATCTAGTCAAGGAATACACGGAAGTAACTTTGCAAATCATTAAATGCTTGTGTACTCTATTGAATATATCAGAATCAGCACAAAAGGCAGCAATTGATTTGGATTTCGTAAAGACGATTATTAGCATATTCGACGATTTTTTGTCTGAAAATATGTTAGGGACTGTCGAGATTAGACGACGCTTTATGGAAAAAAAACGAAAAGCCATTACTGAGAACATGAAATGGATATTCGAAATATTGGTTCATTGGTTCACATCGCCAAATGCTAAGATTGTCAATGAAGAGGATGCAGCCGCCTTAGCTGAGCTTTGTATAAAGATTTGGCCCTGGCTATTCTTCTCGATTGAGTTAAAAATTACCGTTTTTCGAGCCTGTGTCTGCGTTGCTGCACGTTCAGCTGCAGTGTGTCGGGAATTTACGAATCGGACGTGCATGAATGTATTGGATAAAAGGAATACTGTTCTGTCGTTGATTTTAGATACCATAAGACCGGAATCACTTAAATCGAAATGTATGTGTGAGCTTTCGATTTTCTTAATACACTATGGCGTGCGAGTTCTAATGAATTGTTGCATACTTTATCCGGAGACCCGTTCATTTTTATTAAGATCGAACATAATGAACATTTTCGAAACTTTTCATCCGTTAACACCAAAAGCACCAGTAAAAAATACAATTGTCGTTCATGACTGGCTGCAGTTCTGGGAGTTATATAGTCGTTATAAAGAAGGCATATCACTGCGTCATATTAGTGCTCTATGTGGTGTCATTGAGAAACGAGAAAGTATTGATAATAAATTGCGATTGCTATGTTTGAAAATTGTACGCAACATTTGCTTTACTTCAAAAAATCGCGTTTGCTTTATAGGCCACGATGACTTCTTGAGCATTGCATACTCTATTGTCTTGTTTGCTGCGTCTCCGAATCAACAAATTAAGAACTACGAGGAGCAGCTGATTGTAATTATAACAATTGCGTTTTTGGCTGCTGGTGGCTCTAAGTATGTAAGCATATTACGGGGAACTAAATTGATGGCAAAAGTTCAACAGCTACATGAGATTTTAATAAAATTAAGCAAGAATGAAGGGAAATTTAATTCGATTAAATATGCCGGAGAGTTGAAAAATAATCTTGATAATTTAATGCTAACGTTTAACTGAATGAATCATCTGATTGATGATTACATCTAACCTTCTAGGCTATTAACATTAATGCACTATGTACTTTAAGAAAATATCATAACTACTTAACATACATACTTATGCCATCCTTACACATTTTTCTAATATATAGTTCAATAATAATATGTTATACAATTTTTATTAAAAACAATTCAAAAATGTAAATTATATTAAAATTGTAACTTTAAACATGTATATGCATATTTTATTAATTTTTAAATATTGTAATTAGTTGTGTTAAAAAATATTGTATGTGTTTGTAAAACAGTTTTTTAATATTTTTGTAATTTAATTTCAATTAAATTTAAATTTAAAAAATTATTCTTAAAATTTTTTAGTCTTGTATTATTATTTAGTTATTTTAAGATGATTGTAACTATTAAAAAAAAAAAATAAAACAAATTGATTTCTTTATATTATTAATATTATACTTTGTCTATATTGTATTAATAATGTATATACTTTAAAAAAATCAAAGAGTGATTTACTTTGAATGGTTTTTACATACAATTTTGCAATTATGATATGTTTAAAATTTTATCTCATTTATTTTTAAATTTATTTTTGTTTATTTATTTATTTATATTTATTTATTTATATTTATTTATATTTATTTATTTATTTTTATTTATTAATTTTTTTGTTTATTTTTTTTTTATTTATTTATTTGTTTATTTATTTATTTATTTATTATTATTTATTTATTATTATTTATATATTTTTATTTATTTATTGTTATAATACAAAATATATAATGTAAATGTCGATAAATGGCCTAGTATTGTCATTATCAGCTTTTTACACTCTTTGTTGATTATTAAAAATAAAAGCCTGAGCTTCGGATAACCATACTCATAGCTGTAAAAAATTGGCATAAGCTCTCTCCATTTCATTAAGTGCTGTAGTTAGCGAGTTCCAGCCATTATGTTAATTTTTTCTATGGAATTTAGCCATAAGTCTATTTAGTATGACAATTGTGTTACGGGAAGACACAAGAATATATAAAATAATTTTGTATTATAATTAGCGTCTTGCGATTGTGTATATACTAGAATTAGAGATAAATTGAAATTTCTTACTGTCATAATATACACAATCTCTCATGTTATGAATTCAGTTCCACATAATACTTATATCTTGATGAAGAAAGTATTTTAGGCACATGCGTTTTTTTTTCATTATATCTATACAATTTTTGCAGTATATAACCTGCAAATCCAAAACATCTATATTTCGTATAGATATCTGCAGTATCTACCCTTGCATTACTCCTGGTGGTTTTATCAAATCACATATCGAGTATTTATTTTTTTATAAATCTTTGTTCTAACCCGTTACCAGTATCGTTAGTTGTTATCTGAGGTCCTTGTGGTCCTTGGAGATTTTTTCTAGGGTTCTAGTTGTGATTATCATTCTAAACTTTAGTTTTGGAAAACTTAAATTCCGGTATCGTATGCAGTTCTGATTAAGAACAGTTTAACAGCTAACACTTTAATATTCAGATCTTTACTGAATAGAAGAAACTTTGGTTTTTTTGAGGTAGCATTTTGGAGCAAATAGACTTAAATGTGCAATCCCGGAACAATAAAAATCACCATACAGACTGGAGGGCCGCAGAAACAAATACATACGTTCATAATTGATTTTGATAAAAATAAAAAAGCGGATATAATATTAAATTTAGTTTTAATAATTTATTAATTTAAATTCATTTATTTGGTATACCATAAAAATAAATTAATTTAGTTTTACTGGTACATCAAAAGATGTACTAGTAAAAAAAAACAACTCACGGGCCGTCTTTGGACAGCACTTTTCTACAGCATAAATCTACGTACTATAGTTTTAATTCAGCTCAAAAAGACGTTAGGGGATCCTCCTATCTCGCTAGAAGATCAGTTCTTTTATAAGTCGAAGTTTTTGCTATGAGATTGGTGAATGATCGGAGAAAAGCGCCAATAAAATCAACTGTGTTCTAGAACAAACAAATTTGTATTACTTACAATGCAAAATTTAAAGTAATTAAGAAACTTAACTGATATTAGTAAGTAACCACTGCATAATTTTATTAGTTTTGGTCACAGGACACTTAAGAACATAAGGAAATGATATCGCCAATCAATTAGCCAAATTCTGAGCAGATGAAAAAATATTGTTCTTATGAAGAGTTAAACAAAAGATAATTAGATTAAAAATTAGTAAAATTGAAATGGAAAAGCACAGTGGATTATAAGTAAACTAAACTAATGTTTAGTATAAGGATGCGATCCAAGTTTCAAAATTCGTGGCGGTGATGATAAGTTATTGATCAGTAAGCACACATTTCCATAAATCAGACATTCCATTTAAATGAAATTGTAAAAGCAGCAAGTGAGAAAACATAAAAAAGAGAACATCGTTCACTTCTTATGCAAATGTCAGGTTTGCCAAGATTGAACACCCCACTATAGAAGTCTATAAATAAATGAACGGTCATTCCATAAAAAGCCTTATAAAATATTTTATTTATCAATCACGTGGATTGATTTTAATTAATAAATATTTTTCCAAAACCCTGTTTTCGAATATATGATAATAAAAAGATGCTTAGGTGCTAGTTGGACAGAAGAGAAAACTTAGTTGTCGGTAACTAATTAGATATTAGTTACTGCTTTTTATAATATTCGAAATGTTTGGAGTTCGATCTTAACGATGAAATACAAGCTGCTCGAAAATGTTATAATTGTCTTATTAACATAATAATATTTATTGTAGTTTTAAACCACTGTTTTTGCTTCTTTGCTATTAAACTATTAAATAGATTGTTAGGGATTGGAACATTAAAAACACTGTTTTTGTGCAACAGCTAGAAAAATTGTTAGTTAAAATATTAATTACAATAAAAGTTGTTTTTGTTATTTCTTGGATGATTATGATGGGCATTACCTCACATATTGCGATTGTGTAAATTTGTATGATGAAGTGTTATGGGTGGACGTCCCCGATTTAAGGTGTTCGATTTATAAGTTCATAATCGAATATGCTTGATATGCATTAGCATCGTAATGGCCAAACACTATAAAACACAACTGTGCATCTTTAAGTTGGTCGACCCATAGACCGTTCGATATTGTACTGTACCGTATCTCTCACTGCAGAAGTTAATCTGTTGCCATAAGGACAAATACATATGTGATTTGATTAAAATTACTAAATTAAAATATCTAAATGCTTTGTAAATTGGCTTAATAAATTAAATGAATGGTAAAAAGCAATTTTAAATGTTTATTCTAATACAATTGGTGTGACATTTTGTTCTAGTTTTCTAATTACATAATTAATAACTTTTATTAAATTTTCAACATATATTCTGTTATTTTATTCCAATACATTTTTTACTATTTTTTAATGTTTTTTATTTAATTGACAAATGTAATAATTGAAAGAATCTTTAGTTGTTTTTTTAATTTATAAAAAATGAACATAATTGATGAATATGCATGAATTTCTCAATATGATATATAATAAATAAACTCAGAAAATAAGTAATCTAATGTTATTACAGAGTTCTGTCATTAGAAAATAAATAGTAATGTTGAAATACCATTAACTATAAAAATAAAAGAAAATTCACATTTCTATACTAAATTTCTACTTGGATATAAGTTTAATTATTAAAAACAGAAGTAAAATTCATTTATTTTTTATTGTTCTGTTCTACATTAACTAACTGCTTCATCGTCATTATAAGTATTATGTTTATATAATGTCTTGGGACATATATTGGGAGTGGTATCTACATCAATTTTTTCATTTTAAAGTATAGGTGTTTTGTAAAATAGCGTATTTTACAAATTGAAGGCTCTGGTTGTTGATATATAACACTATATAATTAGCTGATGATATCTGGTCGTAACTGGGGAATATTACTAAAAAATCTCCTTTTATTACTTTAACACTAGTTCAAATATGAAATTAATTTAGAAAAATAGATATAGTATGTCAAAGAACAGTTTAGAGTGTGTCAGCAACATAATGGGAGTTTAAAGTATTCAAAATGTTTAAACAAAAAAACTGTTTTTATATTTGAAGAACACATGTAATTGCCATGAAATTTAAATATTCAACTGGAAATACAATATTTCGAATCTATTCAACGGACATATCCGTTTAGTTAAGTACGATAGTGTAAAAATGTGTGAGATAGATATAAAATTAGGTTTGGTTAGCTTTTAGCGCGAGTCTTAATCAAATTTCATATCTATAACATATTATATATGGATCCATTGTGTTATCAAAACAGTCATATTATATGATGTCTCGCTCCTAGTGATTTGGTTTTCTAAAGAGTGTCCCTAAGTATTTTAATGTAAAGATTATTTGTATCTTATTAAGTCTATGCCGGACATTTTCTTAACCAAAAGTTCCCGTTTTAAGATCTTTCCTCTTACTGATAAGATTTTCTAAAGGATTTTTGTGATACTTGTAATCTAAAGTTAAGAGTTACTCCCATCAGTTTCACCTTTTTTTTGAGACTTTTGTAAGATTCCCTATAAAAAATTTTTGAGGTCCTCAAATACAGTTTTTCCCATGAAGTTTATCTTGCTCCTTGACACATTTGCACAACAGCTATAAGCATGATGCTTTCTCTTGATGATAACAAAATATAGTTTAAGAAAACGTTAACATATTAACAGTTAACACATATAATCTTATAATGGATTATATATATATATATAATTATAGAAAATAACTTCAACTATATAAATTGCCAAGCTTTTTGTTAAAACAATTAATTTGAATTCTCATTAATAAATATGCCGGATCTGATCTATTTTTTATTAATTTTTCCTTCTTATGGAAAAATTTGATAAGTTTAGTTTAAGGCAATTAAGCTATTATTTCACATAATTTATAACTAGCAATTAGCGTTAAATACTACGTATTGATTAAGTACTTATATTTTCAAGTACTTAAATTATGTACCTGGACGTTATATATAATGAATTCTAAATATAATTCAATATTACTTAATTTATTCTACAAGAAAGTTGGTTCATTTTTAATTATTTAATATATATTATTTTATAGTTTCAATCTAAACATTTTAACTATTATCAATACATAAGTGACGTTTCGTTTGTGTATACTATATATTACATTATTTAATATATTCATATATTATATAAATATTATATTTATGTATAAGCCTTAAATAATTATATTTTGACAAGATGTACGAGTTGTAACGTTTTATAGACTTATGTAAAATTTATAAATTTATATATATTAAAATTTATAAATTACAGAATGAATTTTAGAATATCAATTTTAGTGCTATATGCAAAAATATTTATTGGTTTAAATATGGGCAATATAGACTGCAAGCGCCAGCCTTTGAACCTTTTGAAATTAAGTAAATATTTATTAAATGTTTTTTTTTAACATTTAATTATGTTTATAATAAATTAATGGCATAAAAAGTGCGTTTGACGAAACCTCAACTTTAAACAACGCAAATTATATACAACTTTGGTACAAGTGTTTTAAAAGTGATATTTAATAATATATTTTATAATAAAGTATAAAAAAATCCTCAACATTATTTACTAAAATATTATGACTTTTATTAAATGTTTTTAATTAATACTCAAAAAAGCGCATTTACATATATGGAGTTAAAGTGCTAGTCAACTGCAACAAAAACGAGTATAAATTGGGTTTTGTTTGTATCAGTTAATATTTTATTTAAACACAATTTATAATCAAGCATAAATTTTTATGCAATAAAAGAGATAATATTTTGTTTATATTGACGCACATTTTCTATTTATGCCAGGAGGACGTGTTTGAGGGAACTACGATATGATTCTTTCATTACTTATAGCCTTGATTGTTTTTGGTCAACTTATTTTTTGGTGTATATTAAAGGATTTTCATTCTTCTTTCTTTTTTCAAAGAGGTATTGACTTATTCATTAACTTCGTGAGTCTGGGTCGATGCTGGCGCATGCAGCCTGAAAATTATATAGGGATAATTAAACTAGCAAATAAAGACTACTGATGATGGTGACTTGCTAATATTAGAATAGATGTATAATGGGCAAAAATTTCTTTTGATTAAAAATTAAAATTTTCTTTTACTATATTATTATACGAATTACATGCAGATATTGTGTGATTCATATCATAATAATTATCAGAATATCTTAATTTATTTGAAAATTAAATATTAATAAATTTTTTTAATAAAACATTAATTTTTAGTCAAGACTGCTCCACATATATATGTTTTTCATATATATATTGGAACATATATTGGAAGTAAATATATTAAAATTTTTAAGTAATTTTGGTAAAATTATAAACTTTTTATGCAATTTATGTTTATGACAAACAAATCGGTCACTTATATTTTGTCAATAGTTAGCAGTGATTAGTAATAAAAAGTTGTACATTTTTGTTGACATACACATTTTAATATTTTTAATTGGAAGAACAAAGTCCATTAATATTTTTCTATATAATAACTTTTTCATGAAATAAAAGTGCACTTGAGAGTAGTTAAATATAATTAAAAGTATGTTTCTATATATAAAGAGCTTACGTGCTAAATAGTTAAGACTATTTTTTAAAGAAAATTATATTATCCTATACCAAACATTATAGATACTAGTATTTTTGACGTATGTTGTCATCTATATTTTCTTTCCGAAAAATATTTATAAATTTTTAAATATATATATATACATATATATATATATATACATATATACATATATATATACATATATATATAATATATATATATATATAATGTATTTAGATAGTAAAAGCGATAGGTACTTGTGTGATATAAATATTAGTTGATTAGGTAATAATTTATTAGTTTGATTTAGTTTTTTAATATAAAGTTTTTTAAAAGTTCCCTAAATTTAAAATATATCTAAATAAATATTGTTTATATATTTTATAATTTTATGTTTTATGAAACATTGGCAGCTCCCAATAATTTTTAATTATATTTTCACTTAAGCCTTTTAAAGTAAACTAACATTAAAAATATTTTCTAATACATTAATTATTTTAAATTTTAATTTAAAATTAAATTAAGTTTTCAAAAATGTTTTCATATTACTAACAGAATAGGGAATTCGTTTGCGAAAATAAATTTTTATAATATCAAAGCCATTTTATAAAATAAAAAAAAAGATATTCAAGTATTTTAAAATAATAAAAAAAATTCAAAAATTATATTCAAATATTTTTAAAATAAATTAAAGGTCTGCAGATTAATAATAATATATTTTATTAAATCAAATCAAAAAAGAAAGATTTAATATAATAATATTAATATATATCAAAAAACTAATATTAATACATTAAGAACATAAATATATTACTTAATATATTAATATTAATCAGTATTAATAAATTATTACATATTAATAAATAAATTGTAAGTCTTGTGATAAATTTTATATTCTTTTTTGGCAAAATTTATTTGAGGTATTTATTCGTCAATAATATAATAATTTATTAAAATTTTAAATTATATATTACTAATTATTATTATATTTTTGTAAAATTTAGAGGGTTTTTGAATATCAAAGAAAGAAATAAATTTTTGTAAAATAAATAATTTTAAGAACTTTTAAAACAAAAACAGTTTTCTTGAAAAAAATTTGATTAAGAAATTCAAATAATTTTTAAAATATTAAATTAAACTTATAAATTTAACCAACACAATAAAAAGTAATAAAATAAGTATTTTTAATAATACCATTATTGTTTAATTTTACAAAAATAACATAATAATAATCTAATATTAATAATTAGTATAACTTAATATAAGTTAATATAAATGAACATAAACATAACATTTATGTTTTAGAACATAAATAGATCAAGTAATTCAACCTTATTAATAAACAAAATTTAGTTAAAATATTATTAAATTTAATTATTAAAATAACTTATAATCATATAATATAAGGAGCATTAGAATAGTCGGTTCTTAAAAAATATGTCTCAGGAATATATATAAAATTGTATAGGTAGAAATGAGATTTTATATATCTCTCTCGATATAGCGATAGTGTGACAGAAACCTTAAAATGCTTTTTTATATAAATTGCTTTATACACAAAAAGAAATAGGGTTCAGCATATAATTAATGAAAGAAAAAAATAATACAATGCAAGAAAAATAAATAAATATGACATACAGTAATTATAACAACTGAATATAAAATATACAATACAAAAGTAATAAATATAATTAAGTATAGTAACAAAAGAAATTAATTATTTCATTAATGATTAGATTTATATAACTATAACTGAAATCATAAAAAGGTTTCGTTTGCGGGCAGTATTTCATCCACCTTCAGTATAAAAACCATGTAATTTTAATGGAAGACAATAAGAGAAAGTCAAAAAAAGATTATAACAAAATAAAAATAAAAAAAACCAAAACTTTTTTTAACATTTTACTAATGGCTCAGTTTTATTTTCAAGTGTCAAAAAATACTTTAATACAAAACGCACATAAATATAAATAATTATAAATTATAATTATAAATAATAAACCTTAATATTGTCAGTTCAAAAGCAATAAAAGTTATATAGTACATACTATAAGAATAGATCAAGTGCATAAAAAACAATTTTTTAATTTATTCATGTTATTTTAAAAATTATATCAAGAAAAAAATAAGTGCAATCTAAAGAGATTTGTAAGATTTAAATAAGTAATAAAATAAATAATGATATATTATTTTTTAATATAAATAAAATTAATACGTTCATCATATAATTTATTTTATTTTAATAAATATTTTTCTTTAAACTTAACATATTTACTGGAATTTGTAATAAATTACATTTTTTAATTAAAAAAAAATAACAAATTTCATATTACAAAAAAAAAATTAATGTAATTAAAAAAAATAAAAATTAGTGCATAGGAAGAAACATTAGAATTTAATAAGTTTTTTTAGTCTATGAAAATAAATTTATAAACGTTCTTTTATACTTTGTAACTTTTTCAACATTAAGATTAATCCGAATTTGTTTAAATTTTATGCCATAGTTTACAAAAGGATTATAAAATAAAAAAAAATAATTAAATTCATAATACGAGTATATAAATACTTAAAGTAATTAATAATCGTTAATAAATTCTGCAACCAAATAAATTCAGTTTTGTTAAATGTAGAGATTTTGAATCCATTTTTAATTTTGGCGTTACTTTTCATCAGTAGCATCTGTTTTCTCCTCAGAGTCCGCATCGTTGCGTTTTGGTTTTAAGAATAAAAGCGGGAACATACCAATAAGACACCCGATTGTTATTCCTATAATCCGTCCCTAAACAAAAATTAGTTTTATTAACATATATTATTGAATGAAATTAATTTATACGTACAAAATTTGCAGCTCGACGACTTGATTTCATTTCCATTTGTACTGGCGTTAAATCGGGTGGTTTAAATCCTAAATAATCACAACCTCTTTCGACATATACCGCAGAACCAATACCTATAACATCGCTAACAGTGTTACCCAAACCGGCAGCTGCCATGGTTGATATGCACATAAATGTACCAAAAACTAATTCGATGTAGTCGCCCTTTAAGTATTTAAGTTTTATAAAAAAAAATTAAATATATATTAAACAAACAAATTTTTGTTAACATTTCAATTAATTCTTGTGATTCAATTTTATATAATACAGCCACAAATGGGAAAAATATTTATTTTATTTTATATTAAATAAATATTTAATATAAAATAAAATAAATATAAAATATAAATTATTTTATTAAATATTATTAACAAAAACAGTAGATTCTTGTATAAGGATAGAATACATTTCACGTTTTAGAAAATCGCATTATAGCGAATCTAAGGAGTTGTTCGTAATCCTCATAAGAGAACATCCTATGTTTTAGCTTTGTTCTATAGGAAATTTTTCGAACATTTAGGTAATGTGAATTGTTTACCAAGATCAAGTGATTTGTGAGTATTGAACTTTTTTTGTGGGATGACGCAATGGGTCGCATCTATGCCAACACTCTTAAATTTTTGATGGTATAAAAACGCGCATCGGTCAAAGAATGTCAATATATCTGTCTCATACCTTTAAGTTTTTGACAGGTATGTATAGATAAGTCATTAAATATTACTTTAAAAAGATCAAATAAAGGAAAATATCAGCAGAATGTCTGAATGATGTTAAATTTCATGCTTAACACTAAGGAACAAAGGCTATATTAAAAAAAAGATTAAAACAATAAATTGATTTTTTATAGAAATTTCAATTAAAAGTGTTTTTATTAACGCTTATTTTTGGGACCCCATAATTGTATTTAAGAGTCTTTTTACAAACTTTATATATATATATATATATAAGACACACATACATACACACGCATATATACGTATATATATACAGTCAAACTTCCATAACTCGAACTCCTCTAACTCGAACTTCTATAACTCGAACTAAAAAGAGTGCAACAGGGTTTTTAAAAGTAAATTACATACAATTCTGCTTCTATAACTCGAGCTTCTATTTCTCGAATTTCTCTATAACTCGAATAAAAATATTGTCACGTGTCAATAGGAATATGGGAAAGTGCATTGTATAAGTCGATTTTTTGTTTTAAGTATGAATCCATTTTGGTGTTAGGGGAAGTCCCTTTTTCCAAACCAAATGTTTAATTTTTCTCTTGTGTTGCTTATTTGTATAAATGCCAGTCGCTGACATTTGTGTAAATGCATAGAATTGGCATTTCTTCCGCCGAATATTACATATAAATTGCAACCGCTTGATCACGGAGTAATTCAAAGGGTAATTATCGCAACAGAATCGTAAAAGTAGGACTAAAGCGTAAAGAAGCAAACAAAAAGCAGGATATTGCATAAATGGATTGCATAAATCATGTAACAAAAGCTTGGATATTGATGTAAGTAGTCAAACTATAGCACACTGCTTTAAAAAAGCTGGATTTGGCTACATGGGACGAACAGGACGACATTCTTTTAGTTTTCTTGAATAATATTAGTGAAGACCGTGAATTGATATAAAAGTAAAGTAAATAAAATAACTTCCAATGCTACTCTTAACGATTATAACGATTTAACGAGCTTGACAATGAAATTTCAAGCATACCTACAGATGACGATATTATTGAGCAATATAGCTCTGAATCCGATTCTAAGCGCAATGGAAAATTTTGATGAGGTTTCGGTGATGCACACAATCGCTAAAATAAGACTCTGAATTGGCATTTTTGGTCTGCCAGCATAATCTAATCTAATATATATTAAATATATTATGTATATTTACGAGTATTATCACATATACAATATTATAAGAGAATGTGGAACTTACCGCGACAACCATCACAAAATTATCTAGGAAACCGAATGCAAAAAAGGGCGCAGCATTTACCAGAAAAACTAAAAAATGGTGAGGGAAAGAAAAATATTATTAAATAAATATGTTATATGTGAAATTCTTACGTCTCCACAGTTCGCTCCTGGTGGGTTCCTTGGCTTTCTCCGCTGTTTGAATGATTAAAATATAATATAATATAAGTATAAATAAAAATTACTTGAAATTGTTAAGCGCACATAAAATTAAGAGCCATTTTAAGTGCAAAAAACATGCAAGTGTAAAGTTATGGAAAATATTTAAACATTCCTTATTAATAGCAAAAATTTAAATGAAAAAATAATTAATTAAAATTAATATAAGTGAAAGAAGAAGAGTGAAAGTTACCCGCTTTCTTTTTTAGCCAATCATCTGGAAATGCACAGTATGAACCTGTTGGGTCGACATCGCCCAACGCGGGCAATTTCGTAAGACGTCCAAAACGTGTACGCCAACGTGTTGCTGCTAAATCGCCTGTGATCATATGCGTGGCATCATTGGACGTGTAATTAAGATAGAAAAATGGGTGTATATATGGATTTGTGTAAGCGCGGACAGCAAATCGTTAAGATGACAGCATCATAGAGATATAATAAAGTTTGTTGGGTGTTTGTGTTGTTTGTGAGATAGTTTTCATCCGATATTCGTTGTGAAGTTTGTTGTGAATTTATATGTTTAAATAAATAGAGAAATAAAAAAGAACATAAATTAAAATAGATATTTAACATACATCCATAGATATAAATAGCAACACTTATTAAGAAATTTAATTAAAATATTTAAACACAATTAATAAATAAAAGGAAAAATATAGTATGCTTCACATAATGAAAAAAAAATACTTATACTATACGAATTAACGTGCTTTGCATAAAATTTATAAAAAATATTATTTTGAATTATATTTTCAATTTAGTGATACTGAAATTAAATTGCTAAAAATTATGACTTCATTAAAGAATTGTTAGACAATTCTTTAGAAGTCAAGAATAGAATTAAATAACACATTTTCGTTAAGATAAAAAAAAAATATAATTGTTATATCCGTATAATGCATATCACATATTATATTAAATTCTAAAGGCTTTATACTTCTTTACAGTAGCAAATAAAATTTCAAAAACTTTACTTAATATTAATTAAGAATAATACTTCCTACCTAGCTTCGTACTAATACTTCCTAATGCACAAAAATATTCCTAAAACTTAGGACATGAATGTTTTAAAAATTTCACAAAGGTGATATGAGTCAACTCTTATTAAAACACAAAATTCGTAGCAGCAATATATTAAGAATTAATAAGAATTATGTTCCAACGGTTATCTTAATTCCCGGATTGTCGACAGATTTACATTTTTATCAATAATGTAAAATTATAATGAATAAATATTTAAATGTGATAAAGTCGTCGAACAACTTCTAACGGTCCTGCTCTTATGAGATATCTCGTACGAGTATAGACAAAATTAATTTAACGTTATATATAACAGAAACGCTATTTTAATGGCTAAAATATATTGTTTGTTTATTAAATTGTTGTATTTCTTACGACGGCTGGTCTCTTTTTTAATGCCAGATATTATTATTATTCCCATACTCCATTAAGAGCTTAAGGAGTGTACAAAAATCTTTCACTAGTTTCTATTTTGTGCTATTGCTCTCAACTCGTTACACGATTTGCCGGTCTCCTGTGGAACTGTCCTTCTCCAGGTCATTGCTGGTCTACCTATGCACCTAGTCCCCTTGGGGTTCTAAGTAAGTACAGCATGCGCGATATCTTCACAAGGCTTACGCAGTGTGTGTCCAATCCCACAAAACTTCTTTTTTCTTGTCTCGTTATTTACGTTTGTATGGTGCGTTATTCTTCATAACTTTTCATTTGAAATCGATCTAGGCTACCATATGCCTAATATTTTGCGCAGGCTTCGATTAATAAATGATTGCATTCTTTTTTCGATTTCGGAGTTAGCAAGACAGGTTTCGGATTTATATAGGAATACCGATTTGACGTATGTGTTAAAAATTTTTACCTCGATGTTGGTACGTATATTGTGGGCCCGCCATATGTTGCGCAACCCAGCAAATGATATTTGCGCTATTTATGATTGATTAATGCGGCTATTGATGTCCTTTTTCGCACGCCCATCGACAGAATATTCCCTAAGTAGGTAAAATTCTCGGTGTCTACGATGTACTGCCCATTGATTGTAAAGCGAGTTGAGTTTTCGGTTTTTATACGCATTGCTTTAGTTAATGTCAGATATGCCACTCAGTTGTTAGAAAATTAGCCCAATTGATACTAAAATAACTAACGAGTTAAGGTAACACTTTTTCAAAACTTATATCGCACTGATAAAGAAGACATGTTCCATCAATGATTCGAAAATTATCAGATTTTTGCTTTATGCAGGTTTATTTCTCTAGTAAAACACTTCATTAATGATTGTGAAAATCTTCGAGGGGCCGATTTTAACAAATTTCTAAACTAAAATGCTTAAAATAGTTTTTGAATTTAGAGTGGAAAAGTGGACAGACTATATTGTTACATAGTCATTTTAATTATTAATTTTAAAATGATCCTTATATCGATATTTTTAATATGTTTTTAAAACAAAACCTTATTTGGTGGCTTAAATGATATTATAAAACCGTGTTCATTCACCAAGTACTTCTTTTATTCGTACTTCAAACTTACCTAATTAACCGACTAAGTCATTTATATAAACTTAATTTAAGTTGTTGGGTTATAAGCAACAATTTGGTACACATTCACTTATGTTTACTTTAAGGATATTTGTGTCTCTTACAACTAATTTTGCTGTTCAAAATATGAAATCCTCCTTCATCAGCAATAAAAGCGCAGTGCAGTATGCGCGGGAGCTCATGTGTGTGTTGTAGGTACTAAAGGAAGGAATAAAAATTTGTTGTAAGAATATTTTGTAAGAAAATAGTTCAGCTAGTGTTGTTGCGATTAAGTTGCATGTAAATAACAGCTACAGCTGCAGCAGCACCAGCAACAGCAACACTAGTAATAGCAACACCAGCAGCAGCTAATAAAGTATATTACTCATACGCCATGGTGTACTTTTGAAATTTCTATAACTTACGAACGAATGTTATATATGTTTTTTAAGTAGTTTTATGTGTGCGTGAGTGTGTTACTACAGTGACGACAGCTACAGGCATAATATAATGGGAAAATATTTAGTTGACAAGGCACGAGGGCCATTTTGATTTGACTTTTGTTGAAACTATGCACTGAGAACATGTTCAACTTTAATTAAATTTGTGCAAATTATTTTTAACAAAGCTTTCAGCTTCAAAATTAAATTAAATTTATGGTTTTGCTTTATGGTTTACATATCAGTAAGAAATATTAGTTAAATTTTTAATGATTTAATTAATTTAAAAACATTTTATATACAATATTTTACAGAATAAGAGTTTTCCATTTTTTGTGAAAAAAGTGTTTGATTTGAATTTGCTTAGTTAAATATGCAGGGATTCAATTAAAAATAATTTAAATTAAGAATTTTTTATTTAAAAAAAAGTCTGCATTGAATTTTCTATAGGATCCTTTAAGAAACTTTTTTATGAAATAAACTGGTTTCTATTAAATATAATAGTCACTTCCGTCTAAAAAATTTGACGTTAAATTACAACTTATATTCACGAAATATTGGTCTCGCCCGTGCGAATCGTGGAGTAACATTAGCATGACTTTTATATTCGCATAGAGGGAAATCAGACAGTTGATGATATTGCTAAAACTGGCGCAAGACCAAACAACCCAAGTACTCAAGCCTCTGAATCAAAAACATAAACTAAAGATCGAGCACATGACATGGAGAGCAAATTAAAGATAGCGAAACTTAACCACCTGTAGAATAGCCAGTATCATGTGTATACATATAAACGAGAAAAAGCACATCGAGAATGTTATATTGTCTAGCCGAAGGAACTTGAGAACATTAATAGGTCACTGTGTGGTCGCATAACATGCGCAGAAACTAAACTTAATTCGCAGCGATGCTTGTAAAAAATGTAACGAGCATCTGCTGTTAAAACTCTGGAGCATCTGCTGTGTAAAGACCCGGCTTTCTCGAAAACTCAACAAAAATACGTGGGCGCTGTCAGTTTTACAGGACTGCAGCACATACCTGAGGTTTCTGTTAAAATTCTAATACAATTCGCTAATAACACGCGTACCTTAAATGATGTATTCTATCGCTAGAAATAAGACTCTGACCTGGTACCACAATGGACCTTTTTGGTGTGTCAGCATAACTGAACCTAACCTAACCTATACATACTTTTATTTTATCGCAGCTTTTATTAAACTTAATTTTTGTTAACAAACCAGCTAAAACCAAAATTAATCAAATTTTTAATTTTCATTAGACATCTATGAGCAGTAAATGTCTGTAGCAATTACTGACATTTAAATTATTAAAACACATGCGGTAATCCAATATGTCGAGCATAAAGTTAACTGTGCAATTAACTCTTCCTGTGCTTGTTTTAGCTTTATAGGATGATTTTCACATCCCGAAGCTTGTGCGCTTAAATGAAGATTAATTAAATTTTTAGTTAGAAATTCAGTTTCAAATTTCCATTGCAGCTTTAGCACCACGCATGAAATGCCAAACACATTAAATACCTCAAAACTGGGTTGTGCTCATGCAATCACACAAAACAGTAAAAGCGGAAACGGAAATGCCAACAGCAACAGCTTTTCAAACATAATAATGGGACAAATTAATTTGTCTCGGTTTTTCTATAGCAACAATTAGGTGCGTGTATTAATCTCAATGCACATTCTCTCTGCAAGAATGTTAATGCACTTTTGCTGCATTTTAGTACATAATAAAAAAGCTGAATAATGTACGAAGAGTGAAAAAGCGTTGATATTTTAACAGGGTCCATGAAGGATAGCACATCGTAAAAACGCTGTAAAAACGAATTTTTAAAACCTGCTAACGTTTGGATATTAAATTTTTCGTTCTACTACTTTTCATTTTTTTTACTAAGATTCCTGACACAATATCCTTTAAATTTAATTCTAAAAAGAGCAAAAATCTAACATAAAAAGCACACAAAGTAAGTTTTAATATCCCTTTTTGCTTTTATTGCATTTTAAGGATATCGTTTGGATTTGACATGTTGTCGCTGCTTTTGAGAAATATGTACTGAGAATATATACTTTTCAACTCATATTTTTTCAAAATAACCTTACTAAATTCAACACGTCTCATTAAAAAATTATTTTTTTTAGAGATTTTTAAAAAATAGGTTCTTTGTTATTATAAGAAAACGTAGCTGTTTCGGCGACATTAATAAAAACTTTAAAAATAATTTTTTTTTGTCATTTATATAACTTTCTGTTGATTTAACAGAAGTATTTCAAAATAATTTAAAAACATAATATTTTATATGCCGCATGGATATGAACAGTTGCTGACTATAATGCAAT